TTGTACGTAATTCAAATGGTTTCAAAGGGTGAATAAGATAGAAGAAATGTCAAAAAATGAAAGGAAGTTTCACATATGATTTAAAATATTAAAAATTTTAGAGTCACATTAATGTTTGCTACAACATACAGTAGAAAAATATATATACATTCACCTAAAAGAAACGTGACCCTAAAAGAAAAAGAAAACAGAAAAAATGGCATTTATAAAAACATTTTTTCTTCCATATTACTCACCCTTTGAAACCATTTAAATTACGTATAAAAATTTTCTCGTGCCACTGTATGTAGAGAATATAATTAGATGGCCTGTTTTACATGGCTCACCCTGTATATTTCAATTAAGTAACAAAATTGGTGCCGAAAAATTGATACCAAACAGATGCAGTATATTTAAAATTGAGAAAGAAAAATTCTATTGTAAAATTATTGACTGGATTTCTTCGAAGAGAAACGATAAATCCGACATCCTTCGACAGCATCGAGCTGACAAGAGAAGAAAAAATTCACCGAAAGAAGTCGGGATGATTTTTCAATTTCCATCGGGAGACTCCGAGATTCTCTTCGACGAGATACTGGAAACATTTTTGGCCATATTAAACGAAAACACAACGGTACACAGAAGCGTGTCGTTGCGGTGCTAGTCGAAGCAAACGACGCGGAAAAATATCATTTTGCTCGTGGTTTCCACAGCGTAAACCTGTGTTTTCGTAAAAATTCTACGCTTCTCTATTCTACTTCGATCGTTTTCGCCGTTCCACTTCGACGAATAATTGAACGACTGAAACACGGTGGCGTCAGGCCATGGATTAAAGCCTGAAGAATGGACTCTTAACAGGACACGAAAGTGAAAATTCTTTCTTTCGCGATAGAGTGAAATTAATTAATGAGAAAATGAGACAATCAAAATGGACGATTAGAGGCAAAAGGAAAAAGGAAATGCAAGGTGTATAAATGGAGGAATAGATGAAAAATAAACGAAAATATTAACCCTTTCACTGTTCACTATACATATTAAGGAAATATAACAATTTTCCACTCTTTTATGACTTAATTTAGTCACATTAGTAGTAGAAACAAGGGAAAAATATATTTTACACATATTCCTGCGTTACCTGTCGAAATATTTTAATAATTACCCCTTGCACTACAGCGGATTTTAACGCTAGAACAACCAAACCCGTCAAAATGACGGATTTCAGATTTCGTACTTTAAATTACAGAGATGATTAAAATGCCTTTGGCCAAGTATGTGATGACTTCTGTTGAAATATGCAAACAATTGTACTATGTACTAATTTATTTTCCATTAATCTTTCCAGTTTCGAAGTTCTTTATGTAGTATACCTAAATAAACCAGAAGGGAAAAAATATACTACATTTAACTCCGGTTGTTTTAGTGTTAACATCGAATAGAGTAAATTGAGCGTCGTACTCTCCTTAGAAAGGGTTAAATATTATCAGGGATTGAAAATTTTTTTGTCCATTTTTCTGCGTCGAATAATTGAATTTCTCAAAGTTAAAGATTTGACAAATAATGTAGAGGAAAATCATATTACAAAAATTGAATTCTGTTACCTAAAGCGAAAGTCAACATGGCCTGCTAAAACTTTAAACGCATCCTTCTCGAAACTGTGCTTTTTAAACTGATTTCGAGAATAACTAGAGCACCGGTAAACGGATTTCAATGAAATTGGTCACTAATATTTCAACATTTTATGTCTTTCTCAGTACTGACTCTTTCTTCGCAAAAAAATTTCCAAATACACTCCAAATGCAAATAAACATACACACAAAACTACGACCTAAAAAAACACTTCACTTCTTAAAAAATAATCATAGAAATTATCAACTTTTTCCATCGACTGAAGCAAGTACCTACACTTTAAATTAAAGGAAAAAGGAAAGTGTGATCATGGCATTTCACTTTGTAGCAGCCAAAAGTATATTTCGCTGCTTTGATAATACACTAACTCAAAAAGAGGCCAATATTGATGTTTTTTATACAGATAGATGCTCCATAGGTACAGTATTTTTATCATGCAAAACGACACATTTCTAACTTCGTAAGTTTCAAACTAGGGAGCAGTTATCAAGTTAACTATGTTTTCTCAATGATACTGATTCATTTTCAATTTTTTTTTGTAGTTAGGAAAGATGTAAAATATAAGATTGATTAAGGTTGATTTGATATTCTGTTTAATTTGTTGGTGAATATGCAATCTGTGATCCATATTCCGGGTAGATGCAAAAGTAGAGTCAGTTTAAACAAATTCTGCGATCAATATTCAATTATTAGTCAAATGCAAATTTCCAACTTCTTCCCCTGTAAAATTGACGCTCTTTTAGTTGCGCCACCATCAGTGTCGAGCAGCGAGATATGCAAAAGTAGGGATGCGAAAGTAGAGTGAATTTAAAGAAATTTTACGATCAATATTCAATTATTAGTCAAGTGCAAATTTAGAAATTCGTTTCCTGTAAAATAGGCAATCTTTAGCTCTCTGTTATTTGTTGTATAAAGCAATCAGACACAGGTAAAGCAATACAGCAATCCACTCTATGAAAGAACACACAAGAGCAAGATTGTAGAATTTGCCGGTGCCACTTTATTCGCTGCAACGGGAGGTAAGAAACGCTGGACGTGGAAATATTTTCCTCGTTTACAGCGACGAGTGAATAAATTAATTACCGTGAGCGTAAGTGCTCGGAGGCTGTTGTGGCGACGTTCGGCACCGAAAGGGCTTAAATTATTCAAACGCAGCTGAAATTGTTGCGTGGTCCGTTCCTAACGCGTACCTAATGTGACCCAGTTGGAATGGAACGCGAAATAAACCCACGATGAGGTTAGACAATGCTCCATTCAAATTTAACCTCGATATTGTTTTATCGAAACCTATTTAAACGTAATTTTACGTGCTATTGGTTCAGTGCACGTATGTGCAACCCCCGGCCCTAATCTATTTCAGCGAAGTTTGTCTTCCATCTTTGCATTAAATTGCTATGTCGTTCTTGTTTTAATTCATTTAATATTAATTTATTTTATTTAGTAATTTGGTCCGGCCGTTCACTCGGAGACAGAATGCCTGGTTTAGTGCATATGAAACGTCGTGTTTTTAAATAAAACTTTAGGTAAATTGTGTTTCTTTGAAAAGTAATAAATTTAATCAAAATAACTTTTACACGATTCTAGGGCAACTACTGACTATCCGGGTCTATCTCAAGATAAAGAAAATTACGCGAGTCCTACTCGATCCGTCGCATCGTGTACCGGGGTAGAAAATGAGAAAAATATCCTGTTTCGCGATTCACCCGAATACTCTATTCGTGTTACCCAAATGTTTATGATATTTCGTGTAATTGATATTTTTGTGTCAAATAATAAGACAATGAAACAATGAATTTTTTTAATTAGATATCCTTATTTTTGAATCTAAATATCAACGAATCAGCATTTTCAGACGACAATATTTCCAGCTACAAAATACATATTTGTATGTAAATACATTTTAGCAACTTTTGTCAGTCTAGGATATTTCTTTTCATGCGTTTTCTACTAGTGGACATCAATTATGATTTATTTGTGTTTCTTGTAAATACAGTTATAATTCAGAATTACTGTTAAAGTTTTAAGGCAATACTCGGGCGAGCAGAATATTCGGGTGAAACGTATCGAGTATTCAGGTGCCCAGCTGGTCAAGGAAGTAACAGCTCTATATGATTCTATATCCTTTTCCCAGCGATTAAATTCTAAATTTATAAAAATCATTAGTTTTTGAATGAAAAAATTCTTCGAAAGCTGCTTTTACAGTGTCTTCATTTCAAAATAATTTATTTGTTTAAAAAATTGTTCAGGTGTTTGAAGAAATAGTACTTTGTTGAGGAAATTTCATATTCTTCACCGTGGATTGTTTTCAACAATTTTTCTTAAATCGTCATCATCCTAGGCCCTATCTGGCCTTTCCTTGGTAATTTATTTGTTTAAAAAATTGTTCAGGTGTTTGAAAAAATGGTACTTTGTTGAGGAAATTTCATATTCTTCACCGTGGATTGTTTTCAATAATTTTTCTTAAATCGTCATCATCCTAGGCCCTATCTGGCCTTTCCTTAGTTCACTTTCCAATGAAAAGTCACTCATCTTACATTTTGCACACTAACGTTGAAGTGTCTTAACATCTACATAACCTTCATATTTTCAGCAGTTTTTCCAAGTTTAAACTTATAGGAAAATATCTCGCGAATATCCCGATTACTCATCACATCAGATAATAATGTCGAAACAATTGTATTATGAGTTTTTTTGTGCTATTCAATACACGTGGACTGCAGAAAATTCCTTCTTCTTGACTATTGTGTATAAATATTTATGATCGGACAAAATTTAATATATGGTATCGACCCGGCAATTTCGCTCGACCCACCGACCTAATGTAAAGGAATTTTGACCCCTTGTTTAAAATTCTAGAATATTGACATGGAAAATTCAGTCCTCTAACGAAATTTTTCTTCTCTTCGTACTTTCACTTTAAAAATATCATTAGATTCAATAAATATGTACTTAAAAATCTGTTTTGAAATGGAAATAAATAAATTTTACAATTTTAGTGTTGATAAAGTTAGTAAAAAAAACACAAACATTATTTTTATTTTATAGTAAATATTAATGTCAGAAAAAAATCAATTTTAGTATTCCAAGGTTAATCTAAATACAGCACCCACCTTTTTTTATTTTGCTCGAAGTGTACGTTGAATGAAATTAATTCAGAGTTAATCGAATCTCTTGTTTTACGACTTTACTTCAACGACAGACAATTTTTGTTACCGTGATGTTAATTTCATAAATTGCAATTGTAGTTAGTATTGAAGTTAAAGTTTATTACGAATGCAATTCGTGTTTGCCACAATTAACGCCAGGAATGTGACTCGAATTATGAAGCAAGGGATTCATTTATTCCACACTTTGTTCGAATACACTGTAAAGAGTGTTTCAGAATTGTATTAGTAACTGACTACCACGACGAGAGAATATCGTGCATAAACTCCTCAGATTAGACCAAGCATAATTAAGAAAATATCCTGTACATTATACTTGAAGTGCAATTACAATTCCAAGCATGATAGTTTAATTTTGAATAACTTTGAAGTAGAATTAAAAATCGTGATACAGATCAAGTTAAATTCTCAATCATAACCAAATCACCTCATAAATTCGAAGTTTTTTATACAACCTTGAAGAGCAACCAAATTTGTAAAAACAAGATCTCGTTAGAAATTAAACTTTCGATCCTCTCTTAAAGTCCACTTTCTTTTCGAGAAGGAACCAGGCTGATCCAGCACAAAATCTCCAAGTGTTTATCGGCGATCCGTTTCAAGCGTGGACTCGTTTTTCTAACACGAACGAATTTCTTCCTGTCGCTTTCGTGGCTGAAGTATGTGAACCCTTCTCATCCTTGACTACGTATAATTTCTCGAATTACGTTCTTTCGTTTCCCTTATCGACGTCTCATCTCCTCCCTTGTCAAAAAGCTGCAGCAAAATTGTGGAAGATTCCTCAAAGATTCAGGAAAAATGCGAATCAAATGTCGATGAAGCGTTAATAAGTAGTAACATCACTTGAAAGCTCGCGTCTATCCGTTTTTAAAGCATTTGATAGCATAATGACTCTTCTAAGGTAAAAATTCCAAAGAAATGTTTTTGTGTTTAATGACAAAACGAAATTGAAGCACAAGGAAGCGATAAGATTGGATTTCTTTCACCAGACGAATTTTCGGTTTCTTCTTTTGAAAATTTAAAAAGTAAAAAAAAAAATAGATTTGTACAAATCTGAATCGTGAAAATATAAAAGAAAGTTACAATTTATGTTTAGAAAAATCGAAATCTAGGGTATCTAAACTTTCCTCAAATTTTCCATTCACCAATTAGCGCTTTTCCAAATTTCTTTTCGAAATTGTAAAAAAATTACCGCCGACTTCCAATACTCTAGCTCTTTATCCAACAATAATTGACATGAACAAAAAAATCGAAATCTAGGATACGTAGGAAAGTTTAAAAAAAAAATTGAAATCTCTCGAAATTTCCATTCACACGAAGATAAGATCTGATAAGACTGATGAAATTACCATCGACTTCCAATACTCCAGATCCTTATCCAACGATAATTGGCACGAACAAAAAAATCGAAATCTAGGATACGTAGGAAAGTTTAAAAAATAAATTGAAATCTCTCGACATTTCCATTCACATGAAGATAAGATCTGATGAAATTACCACCGACTTCCAATACACCAGATCCTTGTCCAACTTCTAACTAATAGCAACACCAATTTCTAATTCATCTTAAAAAAATCCTATCAAAGAAAGTGCAACATCGAAGAACCTTGCTTCCTCCACTCCGTTCACAATTTCCATATTCATGCATGCAACCACTTACTACAAGATTGACGAGGATCACGTTCACGGGAGTCCAGAGTATCTGAGCGTCCTTGACGATCACGATCGCGACCACGAGGTTCATGGTGAACCCGAAGAACCCGATAAATCCAAGCGCGATCGCTGCACCAACGTACACCGCTGGACTGATCTGATCCTCGTGGACCACATCGTCCACGGTGCTACGATTCAAAGACATTCTTCTCGATGCACTATTTATCCTTTTTCTGTATATCACGAAAAACCAAAAAAAAAAGAAAAGAAAAGGAAAATTCGAAAGAAAAGCACCACGTGGCAAACGCGTCGATTATATCCAGCGATATTGTGTTTGTTCTCCTTTTTTTTTTTTATTTTGTTTGCTCGAAAGCACTCAAAGGAGAACAGTATGCATGAATCAAAAGCAGTGTGGCGAAGTTTCAAAGTCTACCTACCCTTATATAAAGCCCGGCCGAAACTACCCTCTCTCCTCTGGCTGCACGTATACTCTACCAGTCGTGGCTGCCGGGCAGAAACCAACCCTTTCGCCAATGCAGAGAAACAGCATGCGCGAGATCACCGTGAAACCCCGTTCGCCCCCCACTATAGCCGCCCCTGTGATTTTATTAGCGCCGGGGGACCACGTGGCCGCGTTGTTTTAACCTCTGGACCTTTGTTGGATTCGGTGGCTTTATATGATGGAGATAGATTCCTTTGAGAATAGGTAGATAGTGGTGGTTCAGATGAGACGGAAATCTTGTTAGGTAGTGTATAGTTTGAAATTGTAAATTGCGGAATATGGGCATGAACTTTATTTGTAGTACAGTGAATTGTTTATAGTATGGTGAATTGGAATCATAAGAGAAACTTATTTATTTGTCACTAAGGTTTCTTTTTAATGGATATGACGTAACAATGGATTGCAATGGGATTTTATTAGGAATTGTTTGCTTTTCAGGTTATAAAATGCATACTGGGAATTGATTTTGTTACATTTGGTATCAATTCGAGTCGATCACACTCGATCGTTAGTCGATGAGTGGAGAGTCTAAATCCTGTTAATGGCGCAGGGGATCATACTCATTAATCGTGGATTACAACGGTCCTCCAAATAGCCGCGCGACTGGCGTTAAATAAACGGGCGTGACGAGGTATAACGACGTAAGAATGAAATGGAATTTTTCTCTGAAGGATTAAAAAGTTACATCACCTGGTAATTGGCAGAAAAATGTCGTAACGATTTTTCATATATCAACGAAGGGCGTTAAAGAAAGGATACATTTTTTGGAATTTTATAAACAACAGACAGTATTCTTTATTTGTCTCAATCATTGTGAAAGTAATTTTGTAGCAGCAGTACTTGGGTAACTTAAAATCGTAACTTACAATATAAAAAGTATCTTTAGGACTATTTACATGTCCTCCGTATCACTGTCTGAATCTTCCGCCATTGCTTGTTTCGCTTTAGCCTCAGCCTCGGCCTTTACATCCGCTGGAATACGCTCGTGCCTTCCGTTAGTATGCTCACCTACCCAGCTCATTTCCAACTCAAACTGTTTGTCCTTCAATTCATCGTGAACAAGATAGATTATACGTGCGGCTTCCTTTACTAAATCATGGCAGGTCATATCTGACAACTTCAACTTTTCTATTTCTGTCTTCGCAGACTGTTTTGCTTTACCTATATAATGACATTTTTCAGTGAATAATAGAAAATACTAAAGATATTGGAGAAATAGTCACATATAGATGAATTTTTACCAATAGCACAACCGTAATATCCATGAGAAACTCCAGATGGATCTATCATATACATGGCTGGTCCGTCATGTTCATAAGCACCAAGAATTACAGAGCAGCCGTAAGGCCTCACTGCTGAATACAGAGTATAAGCATGCATGTACATGGAAACTCTTTCATTTAGGTATTTCAAAGGGATACCAACTCCATATTGGGACTTATAGCTCGATGCTTCAGACATAGAGATCTCTACGATTTGTGCAGCATCAGAAATCAGGCCAGAAACAGCAATACCAACGTGCTTGTCTACATTGAATATTCTTTTGTTTGTACCAGGCTCAAAGAGCTTTGACGTAACAATCTTTTCGACAGCAAATACAATGCCATCCTTTCCTCGTAATCCTATGACTGTTCTGTAAGTGAAACGAAATAATTTGCAAATGTATAAATGAAACTTTAAAAGGAATACCGAAGTTACTGAGAAAATGTTACCTACCCGCCGTTTTCAACGGCTTTCTGTGCGTATTCCACTTGAAATACGCGTCCGTCCGGTGAAAATTGAGAAGCGGACAAGTCATACTGCAAATCACAAAGAGGTTAGATTTCATTATCGTTCATAATCACCAGTTTTCTGTAGTTTCGTTTAAATTAATACGCAAGATATTTACCCCTGTACCTATGGAACTCATTTTTCACTCACTCGTAAATATAAATGTGGTAATACTTTTAGAGGCAAAAATTGTTTATATGCTCGAATGGCATGAATAGGCGAAAATCAATAATTGATCGTCAGCGCCGTGTGTTTGCAGGTTAGGTTAGGTGTCGAACCGACGGTCTGACATCTGACGACGACTCGGGAAGTTTTCAATATTATTCAAACGTTCGCAATGTTTACGCGTAGTGTCTTTGATGTAATCACGAAATAACATAGAAAGAAAACAGGTAACATAATGTTTAACATTTCAATCGAACATTTTATTACACTTCAGATTAAGATTTCTTCTTCAGACTTGATGTATATTACTTTATTTTTCAACATTTCTACTATTTATAGGAACAGGCTGTCAAAGAACACTAACATGGCGTAGGGGGTACAAGGTCGACGTTACGTAGAAGGATTGTTGTTAACTTCGGAGGACAGAAGATGGAAAAACAGGTAAGACTCTTGTTAATATATCAAAAATATATAATGAGTAAGTTGCATGGGTATTTAAATAGAATTAAGTAATAAAATCTTGATCATAAAAGGCGTAGTTGTACAATGTAAATACATAAGTACCCTCCGAATACATCTTAAACATGCTTTTATGACATTTATATCTTGAAATAACCTATAAAGTTTGAAAAAAAAAAAGGTAGTCAAGGGATAGTAAGGGATATTTTGTAGTATGTGAAGAGAATAAGAATTGTTGGATTGGGATAATTAAAATCATAGAATGGAACTTTGACTAGAAATTAGTGTTAGAAGGCTGTATATATGAACAAAGTGATTTACTCAGTGGGTACGACAATTGTCTCATAATCCAACGGTCTCGAGTTCGATTCTCAGGTTGCTTCTTCACAAATTTTTTTCTTCTAAAAATTACCTAAATAAAATATATCCATTGCTGTAATATTAGGGTACGTGTTCATCTGAGAGATTTTTCACGATAGTTGCTCTTCGAGAGTACTCTCAAATTGTGTATATCCAGCTCTCTACCTGCGCGCTCTCAATACAGTGTGTATGAGTACCCTGATAAATTGGTCTCTCGAGAGCAACTCGCGCGATAGTTCTATTTTCAAATGGACAAACAGGTACCCAATAGTGGTCACCATTACTATTTAAAAAAAAAATTAAAACACTTCAAGTAAAAAGAAAGTAATTAAAAGAGCGGTGAAAAAGAAATTTTAAAATTAATAAAACAAAGGAGAGAAGGTGTGTGCGAATAAAAAGATAACTCAATTAATACTACAACTTCTGTAAGAGTACTGAAAACAAAATTAAAATATGTTTACGGTCATTTCCTTTCTTCTCGCAAAAAATTCTTAATATTCTCCTTCTTGCAGGTATATTCAGGCGGACAGCTATTCTTAATGCCGTATTCGATGGCTTTGCTGAATTCCCCTATTGTTTGTTTGTATTTCCCTTCAACTGGCGAACTTCTAAAAAGAAAAAATTAAATATTCAGTTATATAAAAGTGACTGTATATGCTCGAAAAAATTAATCCTTACGCAACAAAATAGAAATTACGTAGTTACGTACTGGGGTAGCAATTTCATCGTTTCGATGATCATTTCTGCGGCTCCCAGGTATTCTTTCGCTACATGAGGTTCTTCACAGGCTGCTCTATAGAGGCACGTATCTCCCATTAGGTATCCCAGTGCCAGTGTAACCTCTCCTTCAGATACCAAATTTTCTGCAAAGAAATCGTTCCTTTTGTTGATTCAAAATATAACACAAAATTAAGGTAATCATAAAGAAAGAAACCTTCATCTAATTCACGTCCTTTGTAGCCATGGTTTCCTAAATATCCTGCTCCAAACACGACTGCTTTTAGTACCAGAAGTAGCAACAAATTTGACAAATTTAAATTCAGTACCTGTAGCATTCCATTTATCTCAAGTTATTCTGACAATTTATTCGAAAATTTATTCTAAATCTTGTCACCACTTACCTGACTATTAGTTGACGATCTTTGTACAAGTTCCTTCGCGATCTCCATCAACATAGAACCACCGTACTTCTTGGTACTCGTCTCCTTGTGTAAATCCCGATTGTCGTCCGCGTTTCTCGCAAGAACTCCATAACTCACCAACCCCACAAGAATCAAAATCCTCCCGCTCAGCATCATCCTCTGCTAATTCAACAATCTTCACCACAAACGACAAAAAAAATTAACTCTTTTCTTTATTAAGCTGCAAACTTTTTGCACGATCTGTTTAAATAAAACGGTCCATCGTGTGAAAATTAATTTATAATAAGAGACGAGCTGATACGGTAGAGGAAAGTCGCGTGTTTCTCGACGCGAGGAATCAGAGTGACATCGCAGCCGATGAGGACAGTGATTTTTATAAGGAGGCATTTTACTTTACCAGCAAACCGTAAAGCCTGTTCGTTTTTATCTGTGTGCATCAAAGCAGACGGTGGCCAGTGTCTCTTTGTTTTCTCCCATTGTGACGCATGCACGATTGTTAATAACGATTATTAGCAAGGATCTCCGTTGGACTTTCCTTCGACCACGTTGACGGAAATAAGCGGTGAAAGCTCGGGAACTTTTACTCGATGAGGAGTCGCGATGCATTGGTAACGATTAGCAGCGCTCCTAAACTTTTCTTCGCTAATTAGAAAAAATTCAACGTGACCTTTTTAGACGAGAATCTTTATCAACGTGTTGATTGCCATTTTTAAGTCACAGTGGAATTTTGTTGGTTCAAATTTTCTTTAGTTGGAATTTCTCTGTCTTTTGAAATTTGTCTTTCACAATTTTTTGTCGACTTTTATCACAGGTATTTTGAAAAGTGATAATTGAAAGAAAATTAAGTTAATAAATAATACTTCAATCTTCAACGATGAATAATTTATATGTTCTGAAAATGTAAAGCTTTAAATGAAAATATTAGCAATTTTCAATTGTTACATAGAATCAAATAGCAAGTGTTGTAAATATTTAAATTGCCACTTTCGAGGGTTCGTTTTGGAAAGATCGCATAATTGATGATGATAAGTGAGCAACAGTACCTATAACATTTGTGACAATTTGTGCGCGTCTATAGGAAGAATTGACGGTTCGTGGACATAGGCCTGATAAAATATTCATTGATGGCGTGTCTGCGACTCGTCCATAAGCAATCGACTACAAATGAGCTTAAAGCTGTTCAAGTATGCACCCAAAGTTCTTAGAAAAGAGGGAACGGAGGGAAGAAAAAAAATACTATCTTCGAGCTTTCTCGTAGAATCTTCTTAATACTTAATGATTTCATCGTTTTCGATCTTGTTTAACTTTTCGTCGTGTGCTCCTACCCTTGAATTTCTTATTCTACGAAGGTGTAATTTATCGTTTGTGACGAATTTCAACGAGACTTGACCGCAATAAAATATTTTTTATTTCGATAGAGGAAAATTTCTCAATAATCACAGAGTCGTCTCTTTATATTTCATTGCGTATAGAACAGAAACATAACCTTTTCCCACCGAGGTTTTTAAAATCTACAAAAGTAAATATTTTCAAGTTAATCATTTTATTACAATTTATGATTCGTAATAAATATTTTTATACGCGTGTTTTACCAGAAAGAAAGAAATGTAAAAGTATTCTTCAGTTTAGAGTCACGAGGAAAATTTATTTATTTCTTCACAGATACTTCTTTTTTAATAGATCAATCGAAACATTTTATTGTCAAATTGCATCGTGCAATTTGTAATACTCGTAAAGTTTAGTATAATAAAATTGTACTTACCTGTGAATACAGCATCAGAGTGAAAGTAGCAAATCTACCTGCAGTGATTTGTAGAGGTAACCTGGCTCGTCGCATGATAATTAGTAGCAACTTTGCATTTTTCGGAGACAAATTGTACCATTCAGAATCGTATGCCGCGTTAGCTATTTCAACGCTCTGAAAAGTGAAGAATTTTTAATGACAACTTGCAATAAAAGTATTAACATTATCATTTACCTCAACGGAAAGCCTTTCACCCACGTAACAATACAAGAATAATTGTAGCATCACGTAAACCACGTAGAACAGCAAAAAGAGAATTTGGAAAATCATGTTTTCATCTATTTCCTCGTCAATTGACTACAAATCAAAATTCGTGAAAAATATGATATTTGGATTATTATCATTTTTTTTTTTTTAGTTTTCTATAAATTTCGTAAGAGACGTATACTTTTCGTACCATGACTGCTTGGAAACACTGGAAGCATAGCTGAACGGTACAACCGAGCATCTGAATCAGAAGCATCATATTGAAACAACGCTCTATCGTTTCTGCGAACCTTAGACACGCATACGATGCAATTAATAATTTTCACGAAATAATCTGAGATCTGTGTTCCTCTCACAGCTCATCTACTAGCCTCTGTCAATTATAAATACCGAAGAATACATAAAATAAAGAAAGTCGAAAACCAAAGTGAAGAAGAATATTTCGTGTTTCACTTTTGAATAATTCACAGCTTCACTTTCTAATTCATATCGCTCTGATTATCGTTAGATCGTTCAAAACTCGTCGAAAAATTCTCAACATTCGCAAAATGCAAATAAATTTTTCTTAATAAAATTTATTGATAAATTTTCAACATCATCAAAATGCAAATCAATTTTTCTCAATAAAATTTATCGAAAAATTCTCAACATCTGCAAAATACAAATAAATTTTTCTCAATAAAATTCAATGAAAAAGTCACAACATCAGCAAAATGCAAATCAATTTTTCTTAATAAAATTCATTGAAAAATTTTCAATATCAGCAAAATGCAAATAAATGTTTTTTTTGTAGTTATTTAAGGTCGCATCAACCACGTACATATGTATATGGCTGATTAGCGACTTAATGTTTAGGTTCACAGTTTGTTGTACATTATGGTATGCTTTAGATAGTTCAGTAAGTTCTGAATCGATTTGTGGTCCCTCAGATTGTCACATAAGGTGGGTCTTACATTGAATTTTGTATCTGGTGTAGTGGATGATGATGTGCTCCACTGTCAGATGAATTTTGCACTGTTCACATATCGGGAATTTGTCTCTGTTGAGAAGGTACCAGTGGGTAAATTTTGCGTGGCCAATTTTTATCCTTGAGATGACGACTTGATCACGTCTTGGTAGGATACGATCGGTAGTCTTCTTAAAGAAGTCCTTTGAAGTAGTTGTTAGTCGAGGTTTAGCTAGGTAAGTAGTTCCATGTTGTATTCCAATTTTCTTCTATTTCGTGTTTTAGGTTAAAAAGTAAAGTTTCGGAGTGTAGGTTATTGTTATAGTGGTTAGGGGTTGATGAGTTGGCTGCTTTGTCTGCACTATCGTTCTCTGCGATGCTCACGTGAGAGAGGATCCAGATAATTTCTTTGGATAGATTTGGCATATGATGTTTGGTATTCTTGAATGATATGGTCGTTTGCCCATTGGTTTTGGATTAATGAGATGGCTTTTATGGAGTCACAAAAGATAGCAAACTTTTTGCTTTGATCAGTAGTGGTGAGAGTAATGGCGTGGCTTAGCGCAATAAGCTCGCAGACAAGGATAGGTGTTTCTTGGCGGAGTTTATTTTTTATTGCCAGTTGGTCACAGATTAATGCATATCCAAAGCCGTTTTGTGCTTGGAGCTGTCTATACATATATACATATGAATGGCTGGCTTGTGACAAAGGGCACTTTACCTTAATTTTGCTGGAGGGGAATGTATATATTTATTTAAAATGAATTTAATATGAAATTCTACCGGTTCGTCTTACGCACAATCATCTTTTAAAACCAGTTTGTAAAAATATCTGGCACAGTGGTGGGCACTTGGGTGAGTTCGTTTTTTGAGATGCAAAGGCGTTTCAGGTGTTTGGTTTGAAGATGGTTTGGTATATAAACGGGATTTTGCGGAGAAGAAGCGATTTTGATTGCAAATTTAATGCTTAAATATTTTCTTACGATCTGTTGTGGAGGTTCAGATGCTTCACTGAGGATATCATTTATTGAGCTGGTTCGAAAGGCGTCGATTGCTATTCTAAGTGCATTATTATGTATGTATAGAATCCAGTTTCTTTAATACATATATTGGAGTTTGCAGACTGTAGACGATTGATCCGTAGTCGAGTTTAGATTTCATTATTGTTTTGTAGATTAGTAGCAGGGTTTTTAGTTTGACGATGTGGGGTTTCCACGTCAGTTGAGAGCCAAAGGTTAGTCCTAGTAGCTTGATAGAGGATGTTTTCCGTAGTGCTTGGTTATTGAGCGTTAGTTTAATGCTTATGGGGGTTCAATTTCTGTTGAAAGTAATTATTTTCGATTTGGTACTGGAGAATTTAAAGTCTGAAGTGAGTTCATTCTTGCAGTTTGTTCAGTGCTTCTTGAAGTTGTGTCTGAATAGTGTGGAGGTTTCTTCCTTTGCAAATTAAGGTTAGGTCGTCAGCGAATAGGAGTCCTTTGACCGGGTTTATTATGTTGTCCAAAATGTAATTTATAGCAATCAGAAGTAGGGATACGCTTAGAACAGATCCTTGGGGCAGGCCACTGTCCAGGATTCTGGAAGAGGAAATGGTGTTATTGGCTCGTACTTTGATGGTTCTAATGGATAGGAAGTTACTGATGAAGTTAAAGATATTTCTTTTGAGGTCGTATTTTTGTAGGATTATTAGAGTTCGGTTTCTCCAGACCATATCATAGGCTTTTTCAATATCAAAACATACTGCAGTTGCGTACTGTTTGTTGGCGTCACACATGGTTATCTCAAGGTTTATGAGATGATCATAGGTGGAGTGGAACTGTCGGAAGCCGCTTTGGTATTTGGAGCTTAAAAGTCTTTCTTCTATGAACCACCGAAGTTTGAGGTTGACAACTTTCTTCATTAATTTGCAGATTGCGTTGGTTTAGAGCCGGTTAGAGACGATTGGCCGATAGCTGTTGGGCTAGGTTAGGTTTTTTCCTGGTTTCAAGCTGGGAATAATTACAGTTTCCCTCCATCTGGTAGGGAAAAGGTTATGAGTCCAAATGTAGTTGAAGAGAATAAATTTTTCTCAATAAAATTCATTGAAAAATTCACATCAGCAAAATGCTAATAAATTTTTCTCAACAAAATTCATCGAAAAATTCTTGTTGGGTTATAATAAATGGAGAACTTTTCGTATTTAACCAAAGTTCTATTTAAAGTATTTAAAATATGTATATATGAGCCGTTTATTTTGATAGTGGTGTAAGTCCATTTTTAAAAATATCGAGATTATGTATGAATTGCACGTAAAACATATTATTAAATTTTACCATGATATATCATAGACCAAAACATTTTAAAAACATAAAATTATCACCTGTATACAAAACTTTTATACCCATAACCTCAGCTAAATATAAAGATATCAGTGAAATAAAAGATTAAAATTTTTGAAAATATAATATAGTGTTTTGGAAAAACCTTGAATTCTAAGCAATTAAATATGATTTAAGTGACATTATTGAAAATTTGACAATTTTGATAGTGGTGTAGGTCCATTTGTGGTCACAAAGTCCCAATTTTTCTTCACGCTATGGCGGCCAGCTGTAGTGCAGAAGCAAGCATTTGCCGCGCGGACGACAAACACGGTTTATGACGTGAGCGCTAGCAAAGCTATTTTTGAGAAAACCGTTTTAGTCTGCTTAATGTTTAGTAAATCTAACAATGCATGTTTTCGTAGAAACTTTCACCAACGGCCTCAATAGCAATTTATCATGTCATAAACCAAGGGTTGCCGAAAGGTCCGCGTACGGGTCTAGAGGCCCAGGCCACATGTCTCAAAGTACCGGACCTGGAGGAAAATCCTCCGCGTTGCCAAATGCGCTACAGCGGACAATACGCCCCCACCATAATTCGCCGTAATTCGCCGCGGTCCTGGAAAAAGCGCGCAAAGGACTAGCGGCGGGTTAAGGACAAAATTCCTGATTGGTTACAACCAATACGTTGGGGGTAACCAATCAGGAAAAAGAAGATGGTTAGGAAGAAACTCGCGAGGTGACTGGAAAGCAGTCAGTGGGCAGTCAAGTGTGAACCTCGCGAGCCAGCTATTCAATAAAAATTTTAAAAGAACTGACTGTGTGGCTACTAAGCAACCCAGTTACACGCACAATCCTCAATCCATTAACACGTTGACTGCCACGGTGGTCATCGGTGACCGGAGTGCTTCAAATGTTTATAATTGTAAAAGTTGAATGAACATTGACAGTTAACGAATTTTGAACATCATCGCTGATTAGAGAATACTTTGAAATAAAATATGCACTATTCGACAATTCAAAATTTTTACTAGAAGATCAAAAATGAGAGATTAATTTTTATCAAATCTTCTATCTACCGGTGTATTGTATTAAAGCATTTCAAACATAGATGCGGCTGATCGATACAATCTGGGCAGTATGTGGTAACCTTTTTGGTCCGATTTTTACCAAGCTTTGTTCCAAAACTTGCAAAATTTTTTTCATAACATTCTTTGCAAAATTTTCGCACCAGGTATGCCGGCCCTTCCTTTTTTCGCATCTCATGCCGTAATTTTCTTCGGTTAGATATATTGGATGGCCCTGGTGTAAATAAATATCCCAAAATAGTTATCAAGCGTCATCGGGTGCACCAAGGCGCCACGTTGGCCACCCGTGGCCACCAGAGAGATAAACGCCCCATGGGTAAGAATGCTGTCTTATACAACCATATTTATTATTATTTTGCCATTATATGCTTAGAATAATGCCCCATGGGTAAGAATGTTGTCTTATACAACCATATTTATTATTATTTTGCCATTATATGCTTAGAATAAAAAAAATACTTTCGTCTAATGCGATTTCGGCGTGGCAGTCAACGTGTTAAAACCCTTTCAAAGCAATTCCGATATATTTTATATACCTCAAAAGTTTCAATATTTGTCACCACAAAAACATAAAGTGAGACTACTAGTGATCGTTAATATTTTTAAGTCGATTAAAACGCGAACCCTTAAATATCTCAATATTTAGGAAAATGTACTTACACCACTATCAAAATAAACGGCTCAAATGTCCTACGTTGCATGTGTCTCACTTTTCTTGGTCGGAATCAAGACGCCACCCATAGCCAAAGCTGCGTTGGCGTCGGTCATATTAAGACCCATTGATATCTATTTAGAGGCGGGAGTTTTCGCATTTTTCCGACACTTCCTCTTATCAATGTGTCGGTATGAATCTATTCTAGGTTTAATAACTGAACAAGCGTTCTTTGGACATGAATTTACACTCTGTTCAGTTGCTGTAAAAGTTTTAGTGTAATGGCCACTAATGTCTGTGAATTTATTCTTTTCATTGCTCATACGCATGATTGCTCCATTATCCAAATACCAAGTATGTATTCGCATTTTTGCAATAATTGTTGAAAGCAATGGCTGTCGTCGCATCGTTTTCCATATTTTTATTAAATTTCTTTTTAGTCACAAATGCATGATCGTAATCCGGATCTCTGTTTGCTGCATCATCATAGTCTCCTCTTCTCGTTTCCTCTTCTATGAGCTTTATTTTCAAGGACTCGAGCTTCGGCATCTCGTCACGTGACTCGATGGCGATTGCAAAGTTTTCGTACTCTGTCGGTGTCGAGCTCAGCAACATTGCCGACACCAATTCGCCTGGAATTTTTATCCCTACTTCTTCAAGCTGCTCGGTTTTGTGTTAGAAGTTGCTAATATACTGCGTCATCGTTTGATGCGGTTTTTTCTTTACTCTATATAACTGTTTATAAAGTGCAGGACCTCTGGACTCATGCAATCTTTCTCAGGATTCCCAAGCCTCACTCGATGTTTCAGCTCTTTTAACATGGTTCAGCTGATTTTCCTCTACACTTAATAAAATCAAGTCCTTCTTTGTCAAGTGTATTTTGTTCGGTTTTTGTCTCACTTTCATTCATGCAGGACCACAGTTCGTTATATACATACATATGTACTAAGAGACTTCTTATTTGGATTTTCCACGATTCGTAATTTTTCTCTCCAGGCTTCTGAATCTGTCTCGGATTCAACGAGGCTATTTTTCTTTTCCTCTCTTTTTTCGTTTCAGCGTTCTCATGTTTATTTAATTATCATTTATTTATTTGTACACTGGGCCCATAACACTTGTACTTAACAAAAGTTGTATTTACAGTATTTAAAATATGCATATATATACTTATGTATATGAACGTCGCACGTGTCTCACTTTTCTTGACCGGAATCAAGACGTTACCTATAAACAAAGCCGCGTTAGCGTCGGCGTCGGTCATAGAGGACCCATTGATATTTAGACGCGGAAGCCTTCGCATTTTTTCGACAATTCTCAACATCAGCAAAATACAAATAAATTTTTGTCAATAAAATTCATCGAAAAATTCACATCAGCACAATGCAAATCAGTTTTTCTTAATAAAATTCATTGAAAAATTTTCAACATCATCAAAATGCAAATCAATGTTTCCTAATAAAATTCATTGAAAAATTCACAACATCAGCACAATGCAAATAGATTTTTATCAATAAAATTCATCGAAAAATTCACAACATCAGCAAAATACAAATAAATCTTTGTCAATAAAATTCATCGAAAAATTCTCAACATCGTCAAAATTCAAATAAATTTTTCTCAACATCAGCAGAATGTAAAAGAAATTTTCACAAATAAATATTTCCAGTGCAATGATACGAACCTGTTAAGATATTCGTGTTTCTGCACGATTTTCCCCAACTTCGCCTGTAATGTTACTTTATCGCATGCTTGAAGCTTACCGAATTCGTTTCTCAAATTCGAAAGTTGTCCACAAACGTGCAGAATTAACATTACAATGAAAGTATCGACGGCTGTGTATGTGGTGGCTGCATAAAAAGCAGCTATGATTTGAGCAATCACTGTAAATTCGTAATTTGGACTGACATCGCTGTCGTAAGGGAAATAAGCACGGAAGAGTAGTCTGGTGCCGCTGTACTTCCTGGTGAGGAATCGTAGAAATATATAAGTGATGACCACAATGTGACATAACACTGTGCTGCTTATTATAGTCTTTCTGGTGATCCTTGCGATGTTACTCATGGTGTCTAGATCATCTTTTTTCGATACTGTGCTCCAATCGTCGGCCATGCATTTCAGCAGAGATTTCAGTGCTTGGAAATGAAGAAAGTGACGGTTACATTATGTCTTACGATTAGGCAATTTCTTAATAATATTTTTTTCATTCAATAGAAGCTTATCTTGTAAACAGTGCTGGAATTGAATTTTATTTAATTTAAAATATAGAAATGTGATATTTTGATAGGAAAAATTGGAATATGAAATTTTTTAATTTGTTCTTGGCTGAAAAATTTGTGGATTTTCTTTCTTCTTTTTTCCCTTTTTTTTTTTTTATTCATTGTATATTTATAAGTTTATTTTGAATTAAATTGAAGTTAAGTAGTATTTGTTCGTATATGATATTTACGTTTGCCGTTGATCCAAAAAGCGATGGTCTTCAGAAGGGAAATAGTGATTGTTATGTTACCCATGGATAGATTCTCTACCACTAAATTAAAATCACCCCAGATGAATGAAAGATTGATCGTTTGTGGGACACAAACGAAGAGAAACATCATGAGAACTGGTATTAGAGCTAGGTAACTCGATGGTTGGTTCCATTTTCTTTCCTCTGGCCAGATTCCCATGAACCTCATGGTGTAATGGTTCCAACCGTACACATACTTCAAATCTATCATTATAAAACATTAAAAATAAAACTTCAATATTTTTTTCAATTTACGAATAGAAGTCTCTATTTGAAAAATTATAATTTTTCAGCTCATTGTAAGACACTGAAAGATCATTGAGTTTGTGTACAATGTCTTCACGACGTTTACGAGTTACTAGGTTATAAATTAAAAAAAAAAGCCATTTTTTCAATAATATTTTATTGTATCAATTAAGAAATTATTGAAACTGGTGTCTTTGTGCAAACGTACACTGCCGCTCAAAAGTTTGGAGCACTATTCGTTATTCAGACAAAAGCCTTTTCATACAAACATGTGCAATAAATTTTGCATACACAAGTATGATGTAAGATTGAAACTGAAATTATAATCCGACTGAGCTCTTATGGGATGAACTGGACAGAAATATAAAATAAATGCCCAACATCTAAAGCAGATCTGTAGAAATATTTGTAAGAAGCTTGGAGGAATACTAAACCGGAAAGAATTGAAAAATTAATTTCCAGAATAATAAAATTATGTGAAGCGGTCGTATTTCGCCCCCAAAAAACACTTTCCTAAATTTGTATTGTTTTTCTAATAAATAAGTACAAAATAATGATGATGGGTACTGTTTCACTAACAATAATATTTTCAATAAAACATTTACTTACTTAAGGGAAACTTTATTTGTTTCGAACTCACAACATGCTCCAAACTTTCGAGCGGCAGTATACACAACGAATTTTCAACCCCGATTTTCCCCAAAACTAAAACTCGGATGAAAAAATTTTATTCTATATATTTTTTTAAATATTTCATAAGGAATCACCTCGCGCCTATTGATACATAACTTTCCTGCGCACCTTGTACATATAAAGAAATTTTTGTTTGATAAAAATTCACCTGGTTGAACATCCATCGAGGCCTCTTTTCCGTGACTGAATTCACCTTTTCTCATATTTAAAAGCTATTCCAACAGTTTTCTCAGCGCATGCTCTCCTTGTGCATTAAGAGTGTGCATCGAGATATCAATTATTCACGAATGTGAAGTTCACAGTTCTCAAGTATACGCTTGAATGGAAGCTAATATTAGTGTGGCTGTTACAAATATTCATACGTAATTATTCATAACCTCGTTGAGAATTCCTCGTTGAGGAAACGTACTATTCTGTCTTGAACTGGCGTTATATTCACCAGTGAAAAAAATACTTCAATTTAATCATCGTCAGAAGTACAATTATCACTGGATATTAATTTTTAAAAGTTTATCTAAACAGTTAACACAATATTTAAAAATCTTACGAAGCATAAAATTCATTGATTATGTATAAAGGGTATACCAAAAAGGTTGGGGACAAACTTTAGGAGCATCTAGTGGGTACTCATCAAAAGAAGTAAAAAAGTCTTAATAAAGATGGGTTCAAAAACCATTAGTTTCGAAGTTACGAGGTGTTTTCTGTTATAAACTTGTAACGGAATAACAAACTCTGTTCCATATTTATCTGAAACCTATCCAAAGAAAAGTAAACACAATCGTAGTAATATTATGTAAATAAACATATGACATCATTCAGCAATCTTAAACACAAGAATGTACTTTGACGTTTTAGTATTACAGCGTTTGCACGCGTGCGTAGATATTCTTCACTTTATTTGATGATTCGTTTTTGCTCAAATTCCGAAATGGCACCAGAGCAAAAAAATACCTCGGATCTTTTAACGTGTGCGTGCTTCTATGAAAAAATGTGCCGAAGTGTGTATTGAAATGAATACCTACCAGAATGCATAATAAAAAATATACGTTCCCATTTAAAAACTTAAACATGACCTTTACAAGGCAGTTCGAGGTCATTGCAAGGTCAAAACAATACCAGAACAATATGTCGCCCTCTATGTCCTATAACTTTCGTCTGAAATATTTTTTTATACCATTCATAATTTTCGAGATACCTCCGTGTTCTGAGATAAACCGGACATGCTGTATGTAGCATGTTGCAGAAGTGATGTGTTACCGACAAAAACATCTCGTAACTCCGAAACTAATGGTTTTTGAACCCATGTTTATTAAGACTTTGTTGCTTGTTTTAACGAGTTCTATGTACATGCTCCCAAAGTTTGTTCCGAACTTTTGTGAACACCCCGTATAAAATTGGGACTTTGAACTTGTGCAATTTTAAGTTTAACTAATTTTAGAATTTAAGTCGGACGAGATCCTTAGATTTTTATAAATTTATCCAAATAGTTAATACAGTATTTAAAAATGTTACGAAGCGTAAAATTGATCGACTATGAGATATACAAAAATTGGAATTTCAATTTGTTCAATTTTAGGTTTAAATAGTTCGAAAATTAGTCCGACGAAATGATCAAGTGTTTATAGTCCGACAAACCTAAAGTTTAAGAAGTGAAAACCTAAGAAGTAAGTAAACCTAAAGAAGCCTCTGACGTCACGGCCTAGCAAAATGGAGGCAAAAGAGGCGGTTCAAGTCATCCCCACTACTCTTGGGTCTTACACTGCAGGCCCTTGAGGGGAAGTTGCGTTGTAAGTAAATGGTTTAGACAAACGAATTTAAGTCAGCTGTCGATAGTGTAACACGCTGATAAAAGAACCTACGTTGGCGCGTAAGATATATTTAATAGCGCAGACGTTAATTTCTAAGCGACTCATACACAATAAATTGTTATTGTAAAGGAAATGTATTAATATTTTTTAACAGCTAGAAAACTGAAATGTAAATATTTTTTTCCTATTCCTGAATAATAAAAGTAGATTTTGGCGCATTAAAAACTTGCTTAAGGAGCTAAAAAATTTCTGGCTGTAATGAAAAATAGCGTGCCACCAGAGACCGACAGCCACTTTTTACAGTCAATAAAAGCCATCAAACAGCCACTATTTAATGTTAAAATTTTGAAAAATTTGACAAAATCAGACGACATGTCGTCACTTTAACCGTAATATTTCGGTTTTGTTTAAAGATAATATTTCGACCTTGGGCTCATTTCATAGCAATAAACATAGCAATAATCGCTGCTAAAGTTTCAATTGCTAATTCGATACTGTTCCCACTCGTAGAATAATTTTGAAGAAATACCACTGGATTGCTTGAATTTTAACCTGTACAATAAGCTTATCGAAATAATAGAGAAATTTTGGGAACATGGGATAAAAAAATAAAGTTTACCATGATGCACGTCGTTTGGCGTCGCGCAGGCATCTGTTCGCCTGTTTATGGTGTCTGCGCGACGTAAACTGTCTTTTTTTTTTCGAGCGCTTGAAAATATCATTCCAGTCAATTATCGACTGCTCATCTGTTTACCGACTGCTTGAACGAGACCCGATCGTCATCTATTGTTCATAGAAGAGTAAGTGCGATAGCCTTATTCTATCCCTATTGGCCTACTAACAGCGAGCCGTCGCAAGTTCCCCTACATCTCCCACTTTTAGGCCCTGTGTGACGTTAGAGGCTTCACTTTAGGTTTGTTGGACAGTACATCTTTCTATTTTACATGAGTGTTAGTATTTATTGAAATAATTTCCCACTTTTGTGTAAAAATATTATTAGAAAAGATCATAGTTCTAACAGAAATTATACTTTTCTCCAGTTTTTCGAAATGGAGAGCGAACAGTGGGTGAAGGACGAGGAAAATAGTCTTCGAAGGAGACAGTGCTTTGTGTCTACAATATGTGAGTACATATTAATATCATTTTTATATCGTAAGGATATTGGTGTAAGACATATTTTCTATTAGATATCAAAATATTTATTGGATACTCAGTGTGACATCGATAAACGGTCATTTCAGTGCGTTTTGTTTCTATCGACCGCGAACGGGAATGGTTGTATAATAAAGTATCAGTTCTCTTCGACCAGTCTGTCTTTCATAGCTAGCAACACGGAAAGATATCCAGCAGACGTTTTTAAAACCTGACAAAATATCGTTTTAAATTCTTTCTATGTTTATCGGGGAGAATATTTTATAGTTCAAGCGATAATTCGACTCACAGCGTTAAACAGCTCGAGAGAAAAGGGACTGAATTTTCCAGCGGTTATTTGAAAGGACACTTGCGCGCGACATATCACGATAACTAACGAAACAGCATGCTTCGGTGGTAAATCGTACCAGTTACAGTCGTATGCAGATTGGCCAATTCCAGTACTCTAAAAATTGCAAATTTTGCAAATGTAAGTATTGAAAATACTGGAAGGTTCAGAGTAATTTCAGAGTAATATTAAAATATGGAAAAGTTCACTGTTCAAGGAGTCTGAGTGTAAATTACAAAAATAACAACTTAACAAATTAAATATTAAATTGAACATTGGCAAAATATCTCGCCTTCTCAAAGATACATTCCTTACATTTAACCCTTTGAGCAGTGAATTTTTTTACGTATTTACACCTTTCAGTAGTGAGTTTCTTCACATACTTACACGTTTTTTCTGTTTAATCTAACATACAAAGGGCAGACATATAAATTGGTAGTACTTTGACGCAAAATTCAAAATGTATATGTACACTGCCATTCATGACTGCTACGACACCCATTATGTTTTACGAAATTAACCCAATTAACCCAAATTAAATTGCCTCACCAAAGTTAGTACCATAAATCAGTAAAAATACAGGATGAGCTACGTAAAGTATAACAATCGAATATTATCAAAAATATTCGTAATGCGTAAAAATATTGCTAGGAAGAATTGATGTATTTTTTGGGAGCACAGTTTCCGGTGTAATTTAATTTCTTGTACGCGAAGATGTCAAGGACAGTTCAAGGTCATCACCATTTTTTTTATAGCGAGACTGTATATTTTTCAAAATATCTAAGTGTACACTCGAGACAAGTTCAATTACTATAGCAGGGTCGCTTACGAGGTTGCTCTACGCGAAGTGATCAGACAAATTGGAGCACGGAATAGAGGCCACGCCTACTTGAGCAACGATCCTGTGGTGGGGGAACTGTATGAATGTAGTAGCGATCACCCGACTTAAGAGTGAGAACTATGCTTCGAAAACAGGCACGTGTTGAAAGAAGTAACCGATAGTACGAAATGCTTTACGAACGTATCAACACATGCCTACCTACGACCCCGCACTCCTACCACTACCGTTTCTCTCCACTTCTTTTACGTCTGCCGACATCATTTGCTCCGCCCACTGCTCTCAGCTCTGCTCGCGTGGTAAAACAGAAACGGCTGTACGAACGATCTGGAACTACTTATAATCATCAAGAAATTAAATTACACCGAAAACTGTTCCCCTTAAAATACATCAATTCTTCCACGCTTTACGTGGCCCACCGTGTATACGGGGTGTTACATTTAAACGAAAACTGTGAAATTATGAAAAACATTTTCTTAGAAAAGTTGTTCGGCATATAGGGAGATATTAGATAATTTTTCTGTAGGTGCAGCAGTGGGGGAGATATTCAAAGTTAAGTTAATTTTTTTAAATAAAACGCTATATCTTTCTATTCTTAATATTATAGCGTTTGGTGAAACGAATTGAACGAAGTGCCACGTTAAATCATTTCATTTTATGGAAAGTTGTAAAATCATAGAGTATTTGTATTAGTAGCACAGTCAAGTAGGATCTAGCTGGTCGAAAGCATGCGACACATTAACCTGACTCCCCGATTCTTCGCTACTTTTCGATTTTTCATAAAACGAAATGACTTTCTGTGGCACACGGTTGAATTCGTCTCAACAAACGCTACCATACTATGAATAAAAAAATACAAGGTTCCATTTAAAAAAAATTAACTTGACTTTGATATCTCCCTCATTACTACATATACAGGAAAATTATTTACACCACATAATGTGCTCCTTTATACCAAACAGCTTTTGTAAGAACATTATCTCCATAGCTTCAATTCCTCGTGAGATATTCCACCGTTCTCGTTTAAATGTAATGTTATACTACGAGATTCCAGACTGAATAACTTTTGTTAGGATCTTGATAATTTTGTAACGACTGTTTATGTTTGCTTCACATTCAGTAAGTATCCTAATATGTACATACGAATGGGAGTGTATCTATATGTTCAGGTTGTCCTGAATTATCTGTGCTTCAGCAGACAGTGAACGTGTTAATCGTTGCAAGTGTTTACCGTGATATTTACAGTACTTAAGATAATCGAAGTATTTAGAGTATCTTGAATACTTTTAAAATATATATCTGTTTAGAGCACTCACTTGTCCAAGAAGTGTTTCGCCCACGTAGCAATAAATAAATAGATGTAACATGGTATAGGTCACGTGTGAGATAAAAAATATTACTCCAATAATCGGTACATCCTCTTGCTCCTGATTAACAGACTATAATAAAAGGAACAACGTAACAAAATCAATTCATTCCATGCAACTACTTCTAATAATTCTTACTTAACAATAATAATAATAATAATATGTAAAAGTTAAATATTTAACAATAGTCGATCAACTTGAACACACGGTCATCATGCGATATCCAGTCATACAGAGCATGGCGGTGCACATTAAAGTTTGAACGAGCAGCATGATGTTGAAGCAATCTTCCACTATCACAGCGTACCTTTTAAAAAATATATTTCCTCAACTACTTCCCCCTCTTTCATAAATTAATTAGCAAATAATCTTCCAACTTTTTAAACAACATTTTTCCTTAACACGTTCTACGGCACACGTTGAACTTTCCATCCGCCCGTTTGATACTTCAGTCTTGTTAGCAGGACTCTAAAACGAAGGTGAACAGTCGTCCTAAAATATTGATTTACAGAAAGAAATATTGACAGTATTGAATTCTTGACGCTATTTCGCTTGGGCAGTTCAGTCGAGAAATACTCTTTTTCGTTAAACGAAAGTTCCACTTTCGAAAAATCGTGCAACATCGTGGGTCACCGTAGGTCACGTGACAGCGTGGGCCATTGTGTACCGCCATGTGGCACACTGTGACATCGTGGGTCATCGTGTACCATTGTGTACCACCATGTATCACAGTATGCCATCGTGTACCATTAGTGGTACATGTGACACAGAACGTGTTAAAAAAATATCTCCTGCTTTTTCACACAACGAATCGTTATAAAAAAAAATCGTATTCATTCACCTGAACAATTGATTCTGCCTGTGCACAATGTATCCTAATCGTTCTTGGAACTTGCTGTAGTTGTCTTTTATTGTCGTGTTAGCAAGATTCTCGAGGGCAATGCGGAGAACAGTTAATTGGCCGCATATGTGTAACACGAGAACAGCGACGAACGTATCGAAGCAGGAATAACATATCGCGCTCAACACTGTCCCCACAAATTGTCCAAGCCAAGTAATTTCGTAATTAGGACTTTTATTCGTGTCGTATGGAAATGTGGCCGGGATAAGTAGTCCTCCTACGTTGAACTCCGAGGTGTTTTGCATGCTGCTCCAAATTTGAAGTGACAAGAAGGCCAAAACCATGACATACGTCAGGATAGAACAGACTATGGATATCATTCGACTAATTTTCGCGGTCTTCAGCATCGTGTGGCGATCCACCTCCGGGATTGGTTCCGCCCAGTCGTCGAATATTTGGCTCATTAAGAATACTAGCGCTAGAGACGTGTGAATTGTGAAAATCAGTTTGTTTGGATGTTGATAAATTTGGGAGATACATATCGATAATCACCGTTTCATTGAGGAGAATATTAATATTTCGTATGAGAGAAAATTAAGAAATACGAATTTGTGTAGTACATTAATTGGAGCGACATTAATTTGGCAAATATTAATTATTACTCTTCAATTGAGAGAAACGTTAATATTCTATTGGATGTTGATAAAGTTGGGAACTGTTGGTAATCGGTTTCATTAATTGGGGAAAATATTAATATTTGATATTAGGGAGATATTCGTTTGGCAAATATTAATAACTACTTCTTGATTGAGAGAAATATTAATATTGGATTAATTCGAAGGAAAATATATGTAATTACCTTTTCTACGATAACGCAGAATGATTTGCTTGCCCAATGAGAAGAGCATCGGTATGTTGACCGACAGATTCTCTATCACCTCGTCCAAATTCGTCGATTTTAATACCAAATGCGTCATTTGGGGAGCGCATATGAAGACAACCGTTATCAAAGTCGTGAACCAGAATATAAAGTTAGACGCGAATCGTGACAGGTTAGACATCTTTCTCGGTTCTGGCCACACGCCAAGTACAGATAAACTGAAACGATTCCATCCCATAGCAAAATCCATTTCAACGATTCAATAATTACAAGTATCGAACAATTGTCAGATCATAAATCAAATGCTTGGAAAGAAACAAAAATACAATATTGTGCAACTTTTAAATTTCTATCTCAAGAACCGCTCATTTTGAGATACGAAAATGAGGAAAATCTACGAACATGTATTTTCCAAAATATAGAAATGATTAATTAAAAAATTTCAAGTGTTTCACGTATAAAAAAAATATTTTGTTTATCCTCGATGTGTTATTCGATTACTTTCCTCGACGTGGATATTTCGACAACTGATCCTCCAGATCGCGCGCAACCCTTTCGTGTCGCTCATTACGCATTCTCCACCCTGTCACAGAAATCTTTTCCCATCGAAACTTTTAATAACCGCAATCTGAAAGTTGTGCAAGCAAAGGAAACCCATAATTCGTACTCTTCTATTTTGTTTGACGGAACCTAACAGAAAAACCAATCTCATCAATATTGAACACGCTGAATTGCCGTAAGAAACTTCTACACGTGCAGAGTTTTCTCTTCGTGCCATAGGAAGTGTTTCTTTCACGCGATATTCATCGTAAATTTGTACTTTCTTTGATACGGGATGAAATGTGATCGGGTAAGAAGTTTGTGAAAAATGTTCGATATGTGGCGGGTACGTCACTGCCAACAAGCCCTTACCGAACCTTGTTCTATTCTTCCACGCGAGTTTCTCTTTTCCAACTTCTTCAGATTTTTAGTTTCCGTTCTTTTGTCTCTCTCCGGGTTAAGACTTGTCTTCGTCCTCGAGTGGCCTAAGAAGCGCACATGTGGCATCCAGGTTCGCACGAGGACGAACGGCCCCGCTTTCTACAAATTTTCCGTTTCCACCACTTTCTCTACTCCTATCTTTATCTATCGCTACTCCTGTCTCCCTGTCCTAACAATATAAAAACCCAGTACACCTACACCTTAGTTCAGTTTTTCCTTTATCAACCATTGAGACGTACCCGCCGAACCGCACTTAGATCTTAATAAATTGAGGTGAAAACAGTGCAACGGCGTTCCTCACCCACCTCAGATATATTCAGAGTTAAATTGTGGATGGTGGTGAATTATTACAAGGAACATCATGGCGTGCTGGAATTATGATACTCATCTTTGGGAATAATTTTAAGAGAACTTGCAATATTCAATTCATTCTAAGTAATTGATGGTACATATGTCTGTTGTTTCTGTATTTTCTTTGTTAAATGAAGAAGTTCAATCGCTACCTGTAACTGTGAGGAGAACTGAAAGATATCCCATTGCTGTTTTCAGAATCTGAAATAAAATTGTGAAATATATTTTTTCTTTTTTGTATCTACTTTCATCTACTTTGGAAAATGAATATTTATCGGGCTTACAGTACTGAACATTTCCATGGAGAAGGTACTGAATTTTCCTGCAGTCAAGCAAAGTGGACGAGCGGTTCTGTGCATGATAAATAAAAGGCACTTGGCTTCTGGAGGTGAGACGTTGTACCAGTTTGACTCGTAAGCGGAATTGCTCATTTCTCTGCTCTGAAATATACCACATAATTTCTCTTATTTTCCACTCCCTCGTTAATCAGTATATTTCTTGCTTCAGTACAACGTAATTATGGTATTTCGAAAGCAAGGATTTTCTCTTCGCCAAATTTCCTTTACAAAACTTTTCCCTTCTCTCTTTCTATCACTGGAATAAATTAAACGATAGACGAGAAATGAGAGACAGGAAAATTTACATAGAACGAATTTCAGCGGATGTAGAAATTTGTGCGTTAAAACCCGTCAAAGCACTCTCGTTTAATCAGAATTAAATCGCTTCAAAACATGTAAATACTATTTAGATAGGAGGCATATTCGGTTCTTGTATGCATGTGTAAATATTGAAACGTAACTGTCGATTTTCAATTTGCATCGAAGATGAGACAAAAGGGTATTTCGCGACACAGTTATGAATATGTTGATTGAGTCCGCGAAACGCGGTACTTGCATGTGTGAGTAGCATCTCTCCTATGTAACAATAAATGTAGATGTGTACAAGGATGAAGCATACGAACAGCACGAAGAAAAGCAATTGCACGTTGAATATTCCTTTCTCGTTTTCTAGTATCACCTGTGTAATTAACGACATCCTTCTTGCCTTACGTCATTCAGAGAAAACAGTAGACAGTACATAGAAAAACTTACATCGAAGAATAAAAAGCCTTGAAAGCATATTTCGACGGTACAGAGCAGCATCTGAATTAATAGCAATGTGTTGAAACAATCCTCGATCATAGTTGCGAACCTTTAATGAGAAAAATTGTCGTAAGATCGTTACCAAAGGTTGGGGTATTGGGATATTCGAGTTTTAGAACGCTAGAGTAATGAAGTATTATAATATCGAGGCATTAAGATATTGGGAATTAAAGTATTGAGTATTTGGGGTATTGAATATTTGGAGTATTGGGTATTTGAGTGTTGGATATTTGGAGTATTGGGTATTTGAGTGTTGGATATTTAGAGTATTGGGTATTTGGAAGTTTGGTTATTTGGAATATTGAATATTTGGAGTCTTGGGTATTTGGAAGTTTGGTTATTTGGAATATGGGATATTTGGAGTCTTGGATATTTGGAGTATTGGGTATTTGGAGTATTGGGATACTAAGTATTTCAGGGTATTGAAATACTTATATATGTATATATTTTGGAGTATTAAGATCATGAAGTATTGAAATATGGGAGTTGCGGAGTATCGAGTTATTGAAGTATTTGAGTATTGGAAGTATAGGGGTAGTGGTAGAGTGTCGAGTTATTGAAGTATTGGTACATTGGGTGGTACAGAAGCATTTGTGTATTAGGGTATTGAAGTATTGAAATATCCGAGGTATTGTAGTATTGGAATAATTGGATGGTTATGAAATATTTGGATATTGAGTACTGAAGTATTGAAAAATGAGAGTAGTGGAGCATCAAGATATTGAAGCATTTGGGTATTGGGTGTTCCGCAGCGTACCCACGGTTCAGCTTTCCTTTTTTCTTTTCTTTTTTTTTTCTTGCCGTTTATACGGCTCTTCGGGTGGCTAGCAATAACCCACGGTTCAGCTTTCCTTTTTTCTTTTCTTTTTTTTTTCTTGCCGTTTATACGGCTCTTCGAGTGGCTAGCAATATGTACAAGGGACCATATCCGAAATGCAAATTGCTGGCACGTTTATGATACGCAAGTCGGTACAGCCGTTTTTGAGAGTTGGTTCCTTTCTAATCCTCTAAATGGTATCTTTCAGAGTTTTTTCGTCCTCAACGGCTAATTGCAGGTATCGTAAACATGAATTTCCAAAGGGCCCCGAGACCGGACCCAGTGGCCATTGACCAGGTCATGTCTCGGGACCCAAGCCTGGCGGAAATTCCACCACGTTGCCAAATTGTCAATTATAACGCCTTCCACCCCCACTGACACTGTCTAGTCCGCACGGACTGCGTTTCGAGCGCACGGAATAGGTAGATGTCAATGGATTCATCATTCGATTGGCTTAGCCAATTACCAATCAGGTGACTAGACTGACCCCCGATTTTCCCCGGCCCGGAAAATTTGCGACGACGGAAGTCTACGAAAATTAGAAAAGCAGTTAAGATCAGAACTTTCACCAAGACACACTCAACTAAACAGAACACTACTCACTACCAAATAGAATAAATATATTGTTTGTTAAAACGCATTCCTACAATTTAATCATCCTTCTCACGCGAAATCGTGGTAAGGAATTTCGGGTCAACGCGGTGTTGAATAATCGAGTCAAAGATTTACGACCCTTGTAGGCGCGAACTGCTACGGTCCGTGCCTCATCGCGGTGTCTCGCAAACATTGGGTGATACTGAAATATTTGATTATTGCAGTATTGAAATGGGAGAACATCCAAAGTATTGTAGTGTTGGAATATTAGGTGGCACTGAAATATTTGGGTATTTGGTTATTGTACAATTATTGTCATTTTGATATCGGAGCACCAAGGTATTGAATCACCGGAAGCACTGCAGAATGAAGGTATTGTAAGAACCGAGGAAAACAAATGGGGGCCCAAGCAAGAATCGGACCCACTTCGTCTATAGGCGCCCTCGATTACTCCTCGTTGTTATTACTCCTATTGAAGAGTGTGAAGGTCCCATTCTCACAATATTGGATTATTGCAATATCGGACTGTCTTAATATTTGAGCACTAACGTATTGAATTATCGAAGCTTCGCGACTTTGCATTATCGAGATATTATAATACTGAAATATTGGACTGCCCACATGAAATACTTAATTACTCTGAAAATTCTTCAAAATTATTCACCAATTTAGATGCTCATGCCTCTCTATGATCAAAACCAGCTCCTTCTGAATCTCATCCACGCTTCTGGTCTTCTTCTCGTCATCCATCAGCCTTCGTAATTTCTGTCTCAGTATCTCAAATTGTCCGCATATGTGCATTATCAGCATCGCGATAAATGTATCCACGGTGGTGTAACTGATAACAGCGGAATACGCTGCGAGCACTTGGCCAAAATTGGTCGACAGTAGTACCCCTATTGGACGAATATCGAAGGGAAAATAGCCAGGGTACAGGAGCAGACGATCCTGTTTCTGGTTTGCCCTATCAAGCTGGTAGATGATCCACGCTCGAAGACTTAGATAAACAGTGACCATGGTCAAGGTTAATACTGAGCACCAGATGGAAATTTGTTTCGCAAATTTGGCTCTCTTCAACATGGTCTCCTTCTCCTCCTTGGTCCTTGAGGTTTTCCAATCGTCGTAGAAGGATTTTATAACGGGCTTGAAAGCTTTGTTAAAATGAAAAATTCTTCTTTCCCTTGTTTCCTTTTACTTTATTTCGTCTTTTATACGTACCATCTCTGTGATGCCAGGCGATAATCAGTTTCATCATGGCGTTTATGCCGGGAATATTAGCCGTGGACAGATTTTCCGTGACCAATCCAAGGTCTCCCCATATGAAAAGTAGATTCACGCTCTGAGGTCCGGTTCCAAAAAATATTATCACAAAAATGAACAGCAAAGCCTTGAAATTCGGCCATCGTTGATCAGATCTGCTCGGTTCTGGCCAAATTCCAACCAGTTCCATGTTCCAACGGTTCCATCCAAGTGCTACCTTCAAACCTGAAGTAATTGTCTATAGTTTTCTAGCGAATTAGACGAAATTTAATTTTTTTAAATAAATAGGTTAGACGGTATCTGAGGTTTGAAAAAATGGAATTTTCTTTTTTGCTTAAACTCATAGTTCATACCTTTAAAAATATAATTTAAATAGCATTAATGAAAAACTTCGATGGTTTTACGCGATTAAAGTCAATTTAATGAAGTACGTCACCAGTAATTGAAACTTTAAACGCGTTCTCCTTAGAATGATATTTTTAAGGACGGTGTTGTCCATAAAATTTACTTGAAATTGTCACAAAATACAGCCTGTTATATGATCAGAAGAAGCACATAATATTTTTGCAATACATTTAGTAATTTGCATTGTAGTGCCGCCATTTTGTAAAGAAATTGAACGAAAAAAATATTTTCACATTCTTTAAGGATAATACAATAAAATCCTTATGAAATGTTTTCGATGGAGTCGATTATTTTCTTTAAAAAAAATGCTAAAGTTAGGTATCATTTTCAGGCCTCGGGGAGGTGGTCGAACGTCTTAAATCAAATCAACGTATCCGGTGAATTTTTATTTCTAAACTCTTTATTTTATTCCTCGACTATCTTCAACTTTCTACCTTTTTTCTATTTGATTTATGAACATTATTCAACTTAGAAAAGGGGAACAGCTGTCTTACATTTAATTCTTAAGATCTGTCCTTCATTTTTAATTCATTATTTAATTCCTTTCATTCAAAGCCGAATAAGCATGGTAAAAGTGCCCCTAAACCAAATGAAACGCCAATAAAATTTTAGCCCTCTACCCCTATTATTAGGGTAGTTATCGACTTAAACATCATTTTCATTTCATACTTGATTTCTTTTGTTCTATCCGATGAAAAATTACAAAAAAAATCTGAGATACTATAGCCAGAATGTTACATATCGGAGAATTTTTTCAGATTTTTTGAATGAAAAATATATTTTTAAAAAATTATATAACATTTGAAATGCTAATTTTTTATTGAAGTTATCAAATGACAACATTTATATTGCTACAGTAGAAACTGCCTGTTATGTTTATTATTTAGAAATTTTTTCAGATGTTTTGGAAGCCTGCGTCATAGTTAGAAAAATTAAAAACCACTATTTTTTATCGTTCCGTGCACGTAACAGTGACCTTTAGTAACAGCAAGAGGTGTTTAAATTAAAAAAAAATATATGATTACACTCTTTGAAATTCTACCTACAAAATGAGCCCTTTCGCAGGATGGAGAGTTTATCGAGCAATGACACCTTGTTCATAAATAATCGTCGAGCAAAGAAGCTGACATCTATAAATCAAGTTGCAATTAAAACGATGTTGCAAAAGGGCTAATTTTCAAAGGGATAGACCCTTTTTATTGAAATTTCCTTCAATTAATTTTTTCACACGATTCAATAATTTTCAACAGTTGAAAATTGCGATAAAAATTGCTATTTTGTACCTCGATCGAATTCCATTGGTAGCACAATCGCGTAGACCGTACGAGCAAATGACACACACGAATTTCTCGTTCTTCACATAGGAGGAGAACGCATGCTCGTGCTTTGGCAAAGTCAGAAGCCACCCTCTTTGTAAAATTTGTTCGAAAGTTGAAAGCAGACGGGAGGGTGGCTATAGTTTCGTGTCTATAAGTGTCGATAAATTCGCCTGATCAATTTTAAACGCGAACGAAGCGTCCCTAAGTTGATTGTCCATTGAGAACGCGCGTCTGCCTCGTTCGCTGAATAATTCAATTGAATAACTTGCACCACGTTACTTTGTTCTCCTCGTTTATAAACGTGTCTAAAAGTGGTTGCTCGTCTTCTTTCCATGGATGAAGGTAATTCGAGAAGTTTAATCAATTACGATACTTTCTTTTCACTTTTAATCGCGATTTTTGTCGCAGTTAATTTTCAAATCTTACAATTAGAATTAATTAAGAATTAACCCTGATACAGTCCCCGATTCAACTGTACACTTAAGGTATCTGGGTCGAAAATAACCTGAATATGTGAAATTCGTGTTTGTAATTTTATAACATGACGATAGGACTGTTACGTACGCGTTCTACCCGAAACGTACGGCGCCTAATGTTTAGTCTAACACGCACCCCCCCGATAGTCGCCAAGCAAAGGGATGAGCTCGCATTCCATTCCCACGGAAATCTAACGTTCCCCACCACCAAAAATCTTAGTTTTCGGTGTATAAAAGGGCAGGATTTTCGACGATCAGGGGCAGTCTCTAATTCAGATTTTGAACATAACGTTACTCTGTCCGTCAGAGTATTGATACGAGCAAGATCGGGTTCCAGTCCCCTTCGAGCAATAAAACGTCGCGTACGTATTTCGTAAGTGTCAATCAAAATAGTACTGTATACGACTCCTCCGCGCTCTCACCGCGTAAAGTCGAGAAGGGAGATTCTTGCCGAGTCAAGAATCGACTAACGTTAAACTTTGTAATTATAATAGAATATAGGAATATAGAGAACTACTCGTGTCTGTATTCAATCAAACCCATCCTGAGTAGAATAGTAACGTACCAGCTAACACCACGACAGATATACCTTTACCGCTCGAGGTATATCAACGACTACGACGCGCGAATACCAAACACCACAATATCCGATGGCACATAGCGTTGACTATACGCTAGTGGTCCATCTCCTTCGGCTACCTTCGTTAACCATACGTTGGCACGTCCGAGCCCTCCCGTCTTACACCGAACACCTTCATATCCGGTGGCACACGGTGTAAACTATACGCTAGTGGACCATCTCCTTCGGCTACTTTCGTTAACCATACGTTGGCACGTCCGAGCACTCCTGTCTTACACCCGACACATCCTCCGGTGTCACGCGTCGTTAACCAATCCCGAATAAACCGCCTCCTTCGGCTACCTTCGTTAACCATACGTTGGCACGTCCGAGCACTCCTGTCTTACACCCGACACATCCTCCGGTGTCACGCGTCGTTAACCAATCCCGAATAAACCACCTCCTTCGGCTACCTTCGTTAACCATACGTTGGCACGTCCGAGCCCTCCCGTCTTACACCGAACACCTTCATATCCGGTGGCACACGGTGTAAACTATACGCTAGTGGACCATCTCCTTCGGCTACCTTCGTTAACCATACGTTGGCACGTCCGAGCCCTCCTATCTACACCCACGTCTACCGCGAATCGGGAAACACGCGCCTTTATATCAGGACCAAAACCCGAACGACGTCGCAAGGCTGGTGATACCGGTCGAATTCCGCAAGCACCTGACAGCCTGCCGACGACCGTTCGGAACGCGAGCCGTAAATCCCTATAATAAAAAGGTGACAGCGGTGGAACAAGCCGTGCACACACCCTTTTTATAACAGGACCAAGGAAATATAGAAATACGTTGTTGTATCTTTTATTGTAGGAAAAAAATGTATCGTGGGATTTGGTTAAATACTTTTGTGTTTATTAGAATAAAAGTAACCCCACGCGTCGCCGGTGCTGTTCACTTATAATCTGTCCTTTTATTATTTTCACCGCTGCTCCGATTCGCTCTCTTCCGGCTCGATGCTTCTCGTTTTTTTTTCCCACACACACACACTCACACACGCCGCGATCGGCTTGACAACAACCCATGTTGTCTAAACATAACAAATGCGTCACGCACGATCGTCTTCCTTTCCAGGCCATTCATCACACCAACTCTCTCGCATTCACTCTTTCATACCAAAACCCCCCACAATATTGTGTTCGAATTATGTATTTATAACAAGTTTTACACATTTGGTAACGATGCTTTTTACATATCGTAGGAACCTAGGGAAAAATATCGAGGGACCCCAACGGGAAATCGAACCGGGGACCTTCGGCTTAGTAAGCCGAGGCTTTGCGTACTACGCCAACCACTCCCTCTATATTTCATGGGTATGGAGGCCCCGATGCTACAATATTAATTTTGAACATTTTTGACACCTTAATGTGCTTTTATTGTCAATTTTATCACACAAATGACGTCAAATTTCTAATAGCTTTCAGCGTCTTTTTCGCTGTTTTCATTGTAAAATATAGGTACTCTTACGTTAAAGGGGTACGTCATTCTGAGGCGTCTAAAAATAGGTAAAGTTTGGGATTTTTTTTCATAGCTAACTACCAAATGAAAAGTTTCAATCTTTTTTTCAGAGGTTATAAATGTAACTTTCAGCTTTTCTGTCCAATTTTTGAAAAGTGAAAATGTTACCAAATGAAGGAGGTTACTAAATTAAAAGGAAATAAGAACGTGATGGGTCGAAAGAGACCCGAAGACCGTAACAGAGTTGAAAGGTCTCAGGTTTCGAAAAATGAAGAAAAAAAAAGACATTTTAATAGTATATATAAATTAGTTTATTCAATAATGAAATTGTGTACAAAACCAGACAAATTTTAGTTGTTTTGACATACAGCATAGTAATACAATATTCTAGGAATTATTTACAATTTATTGCATGAGAATATTCAATGATTTATCCAGGAATAGTTGTTGAAATTTATTTTATAAATTTGCTTCTTCGCGAAGATGAAACAATAGAATGTGAGAAAACGAAATAAATATGTCTCTGAGTAATGTTATGCGTATTGATTGCCGATTTGTTGATCGATTATTCTCAAGAAATCGTTCGATTTGTTCCGAACTCTCGAGGAAAATGGTTTCTTTAAAAATGGGACCCAAGGGGGGACTCAAATTTGACCTAAAAAGTTCAAATTTAATTGAAATATTTTACCACAGTGATCGTGTTGAAAAAGATGCAAATTAAGGATAGTTTATTTAATTGTGTTAATTATGGATTGTTTAGGTCAAATTTGAGCTCGATTAGGGTTTTCAGATTGACCACCTGTTGGTAATCTTAATGTCCTACAGCTAATTAACTCTAGCTTCTTAAATTATCAGCGTAAATGCGTATTAAATAGGGTGGCAAATATGTACAGTTTTGGCTGAACGACCGAATCGCGATCACTTTCACATCAGAATTTTTTATGGAAGCTTTCCTCTCTTCTTTCGACTCGCTTTTGTCGGCGAAAAAAATTCTATTCCTTTTCTCTGTATAAAAAAAATTTTCTTTCATCTATTTCACTATCAAAAAAATACATTATTCGACAAACTTCTAACAAACTTTGCGTGAAATTTTTCACCATTGATCTTGATTAAATTTTAACTCACTCCATTGCAAATTAAATTCGAAAGAAATCGAAATAATTTGAATTTCGAGCGCAACAAAATCTCTATCTCGCCGATTTCAACTGAAAAAATTCTAATTTAGTCAGAATCCCATCAGACTTCCCTGAAACAAGACTAAAGAGTATATGTCGAAGCTCAGAATCCCGAGTCACAAGAGAAATCGAAATAATCTGAAATTCGATTTGAAAGAAAATCTTCATCTCTTCGATTTCAGCGTAGAAAATTTCATCGGAATCATGTTTGAAACATAGTTTTCACAATCTAATTAATCAAAACGTCGTCAGACTTCCCTAAAACAAGATTAAAGAGCGAGTCGAAACGCAGAATCTTGAGTCACACAAGTCGATTTGAACGTGAACGCTTTCACCTGTCCTGAAATCAACGATTTATCAGTTCCGCTTTCCTCCATAGGGAGAGGGAGAAGCGAATGACAGTCGAATCTAGACGAGGCATCTAGAAGAAGACGTTGCCTGGCCTGGCCTGAGGACACAGAAAGCTGGAACAATCGTGTCTTCTAACTGCGTCCATGACCTGTTGGAAATGGCTGGACACCTGGACAGCTGCTCCCGGCTGAATCCTGAAAACATACACGATTAATGGGTAATAGTGATTTGTTAGAAAGGCCTGAGGCGTCGATGAGCCTAGCTATCGATAGTCACGGTGTAATTGATAGCTAACGGAACAGAAGATTCGTTTGTAAGCGGTATAATTGACGAGATATCGCTGCGGGACGTCGGTAAATCGCACGAAGGGAAAGACGGGAAAAACTGTGTATAAGTGGCGAAGTTGAAAGTCGACCTTGTCGAATTATAATCGTACGGTGGAGTTATGTTGGTGAAATTGGATAGGTGACACTACTGGAAGGATTTTCTATTGACCAATAAATTGAGTAAGTTTGATTAGGATTGAAGAAGATTGGACTCGGAGGAATTATAGAAAGTGGATTTGCGGTTGGTAAAAGTTTGAGGAAGTGGAGGACCGTTTGATTGAACGAAGAGAATTTTGGGGAATTTTTATGCGAAGTAGTTGAAAAATGTATCGGATGAATTTGTTATTTCCTGCTTGTAATTGGAGATTCATTGATTATACAAGTGCCAGTAGTTAAGCCGAGGAAGACTTAAAATTGATCACTTTTAAAGGACAATTTATTTCTTGAAATAAACTGTTAATATAGTATGGAAATTAGTAGAAAATTAACTACATCAAGAAAATGACTTTGAAAAAGAAATAACAACAATATTAAAAATACCAACAAGTTATAACTCCCTACTGCACCAATACTCTAATTACAATTAAAAAATACAAAGTTCATCGCTATTTGACACTGTACAGAAAATATTAGAAAATAAAAAAGGAATACACTATTAAACACTGGAACTAATTTTAATTGAAACATCAAACTTAGGTGATTTGAAAATATTAAGATATGACATTGTTTTTTAGGTTTTTTTAGGTAAATTTTACGTAGATTTTTGTTAGGCTAGGTTTAGGAAAGTAATTTCGTGAAAGTAGACTACAAGATAAATCATTGATAGATTATAAATATTCCCACGGTCGTTTTACTTCCTCTAAAATTTTCCAATATACCCCCTCCACGATTAACCAGTTTAAACAAAGCCATTATACGAGTGAGAAAATCAAAGAGGGTACCGACTGTACGGAACCATAGCGAGCAACAGATAACTTTCTTCCCAGCTTTCGCCGGCGACGTCCTACTGACTGATTCGACTTTTACCTCTTAGCACAGTTTCACTCTGTGCATACAGTGGCTCGCGCAACGTGTACTTCGTCACGGGACAGGCCACGCGCGTGTCGAGAAAAATCCGTGAAACAGACGATAGGAAATCGAACGATGACAAATTACCACCAGCACATCAACCAGCCTTTTTATCTATTCTGCGTACACTCTCGTTCATAAGTATTAGGATACTTACCGAATGTAAAGCATAGTGAAGTCTACCGAACTCTGCTGAAATCTATCACAGTCTACTGAAAGTCTACTAAAATATACTAAAATCTTCTGAATTCTACTGATATTTATTGAAATCTTTTGAAACCTATGGAAATCTACTGAACTCTGCTGAAATCTATCACAATCTACTGAAAGTCTACTAAAATATACTAAAATCTTCTGAATTCTACTAATATTTATTGAAATCTTTTGAAACCTATGGAAATCTACTGAACCCTGCTGAAATCTATCACAATCTACTGAAAGTCTACTAAAATCTACTAAAATATACTGAAATCTGAATTCTATTAAAATCCACTGAATTCTACTAGTATCTATTGAAATCTTTTGAAACCTATGGAAATCTACTGAACTCTGCTGAAATCTATCACAATCTACTGAAAGTCTACTAAAATCTACTAAAATATACTGAAATCTGAATTCTATTAAAATCCACTGAATTCTACTAGTATCTATTGAAATCTTTTGAAACCTATGGAAATCTACTCAGTGTATTGAATTTGACTAAAATCTACTTACTGAATGTAACAAATGTGAAAAATCTTCTAAAATCTACCGAAATATAATGAATTCCATTAAAATTAATTATATTCTACTAACATGTATTGAAAAATTTACTAAATTTTACTAAAATCTATTGAAATCTACTGAAATCTACTGAAATCTGCTAGAATCTACTTACTAAACGTGAAACAAGCCTCTTTGTCATTACAAGTTCAACATCAAATTATTTGATTCACAAAAGTCATTACTAAATTATTACAATCCTAAAAAAGAAATGATTCATTCTAGAATCTTAAAGTATAACTAGTACATGTGTATATTTTTATTAGTATGTAACATTAACTTTGGTGAGGAAATGTAATTTAAATTATACGATACTTTCTACACGAGCATAATGGGTGTCCTAATACTTACGAACGGTAGTGTACATCGTGAACGGTTTCTACTTTCCGCAGATCATCGTCTTAAAACACGATAGTTTCACGTAGAGCCACGAGCGTGTGCAAACGATTTCCACTGGATTTGCACAGGTAATCCATCATTGCACGGGAAGTCGCTAAGTTGATCGACTGTTATGAATGTTTTCGTCATTGAGGATGATGGATGAAACGGCTTTATGGCTTTTCTCGAGGGAACAGTATTGATAATGATTGATAGATTAGGACTGAATCGTCTAATGCGCATGGAGTTCTTTCAGATTCTCACATTTTTTGAACCCTTTAAATTTCTTACGTCTTTTCACATTTCTGAACTTTCTATGTTTACAATTAATGCTGTGGATTCTCTAAGTATATATTTTTCAAAAAAAAATTTTAAAAATTAAGCGTTCCAAATTTATTTTCAGGAGAAATTCTAAAGCTTCTAAGGCAGTTCCCCAAAGGATTCTCTAAAGATTGTCTAAAGAAAAAATTAACTTTCTCTGAAGAAATATCTGCACAAATTAAAGAAAAAAAAAATTCTCAGATTCCTAAAATACTACTTTGCCCAACGAAAACCAAGTAAAGTCCAAAGACAGAAGAAAAAGTAGTGCACAGGCGTTTCTAAGGGGCATGAAAACGAAAGGCCGCTATCCAAACATAGCCAGCTACATAACAATATGCTAACCAGCGAACTCCGCCATTATATCACTCTAACGAACAACTTCCCGTGTGTTTTGTAACTGCACGATTGAACTTTTCTTTCTCGGAAGAAAACAATTCCTAGAAACCGTTTAATTTATAAAACAGATAATACTCACAGGCCTAAAAGGGCAGCCATTTTTTTCTCCATTATAATCACCGCGTCTGAACCTCTTTGTATCATAGCGTCGCAGAATATCCTCTTTGCGCACGGTGTATTTGTCCAATCTCCATCGATATGAGCCACTTCGGCCACTTCTGCGTTTTCTAAATTCTGAAGGGCGTCTTCCAGCTCTTGATCACTTTCTACGCTTCTTCTTCTTCTTCGTTTCTCGTCCCTCCCGTCCACAGAATTCCTCGCATAATCACCCATCAAATTTTTCGAATTTTCCTCAACCTTTTCCAGGTCACTTAAATCACTTTTACCAGACGCACGAGTGACGAAATTTTTCTGAAGAAATTCCACAGGCATTTCTTTATCTTCGATCACTAAAATTGCTGGATCTTTGTTGGTTCTCTTCGAATTATTTTTATCGTCGGTATTTCTCCTCGGTATAAGAAATTCTGTCACATCGATGCTACCTTCTCTAGCTGGAAGATCGATTTCAACGATTTCGCTGATCGAGTCTGCACCTTTTCTCTGAAGACGTTTATTTCTGACGAGATTCTTCAGGTCTCCTTCGGCCTGGAAAATATCCAAATAGTCCAAACTTCGTTTTCTTCTTCTGTTCGCTATTATTTGATCATTTTGTACAATTCTTGGCAGATTTTCTTCGTTGTCTGTCTTACGGTCCTCTTCAACAACCATTAGAATACCATTCTGATTATTCAGAGATCTCACGTCGTCTCTGTTCTCTCCTTCGTTCTCCGGTACCTTCTCCAAGAAGTACACAGTTCCGCCGTAATTATTGAACATTTTCGTTTCTCCGTTTCCATTTCCTTGCCCAGTCTCCGTTAACAAAGGCTGTCCACCGTCTAAAGCTCTTTGGTACTCCACTGCAGTGGCAAATTCTTCGTTAGATCTCTTCAGAACGTCGACGTCGAGGTATCTTCCGACTGCGACTGCTCCAATCCCAAGAGCGGCGCCGGAAGCCACGAGTCCTAGGGCTGGAATGAGGATACTGCTACCGGAAGTGACGGTGCCAATCTTCTCCTGAGCTTCTTTGCCATTGGAGAGACCTAAATTCTGTGATATTTTATGAGTAGCTTCCACAAGAGGATCGATTACAGGTCTAGTGAACTGTGAAACCTTCTCGACGCCGTTGGAAAATTGACTTTTCAGGTTCTCCGAGATCTTCACCCAAAATGGCGCGTCATTTGGCCTCTTCAGTCCGTAGAAATGTTGATTAGGGTAATAATTCTTCGTGTTATAGCTGTCCACGATGTTCTTGTCGTTTAATACGTATTTCTTTTTCTGTCTTTGCTCCGTGAAGGAGTATTGGTTCTCTGGAAAATTATCTGGTCGTCTTTTCTCGTTCTTCAAGATTTTTGCCGGTTGAACTCCCAGTTCTGGATGCGCGTATTGGAGGACTGGTGCTCTGGCGCCTGGTTTCAGGGCAACTGGAGCAATTTTCTGGCTTTCCGGTGTGTAGAGTTGGGACACTGGGTAGATCGACACGCCATCAGGGTGGAGCATCCTTTTGTGAGAGCTGCTTCGATAGTTGTCGTTTTTGGGCTCGTATACTTCCGCTTTGAGCGCTTCGTTTTTGTAGTTCTTTGGGTCCCATTCGAAGAACACGTTTTTTCCTTCTTCTTCGTAGTCCTTGCCGTACCTGTTGAAGGGACTGATGAAAGAAGCGTTGAAAACATAGTTGAATAAGTTCGTAGTGTGATTTACATATTGTAAGAAAATTTTTTTAATATCTATACTCAGAGACTTATAATTTAGCTATCTTGATAATTTAAACATTTTTGAAAAAATCATTTTTAACGTGTACTAGTAAAATATATATTCTAGAAATTGTAAAACCCTATATTTTGCAGAAGAATTATTTTTAATATCTACCTACTGAGAGGCTTATAATTTAAAAATGTATTTTTAACGTGTGCTGTTAAAAAATATATTCTAGAAGCGCTAAACAAATGTTCTAAGTATATTAGTATTTCTAGCAATTGTAAGAATATTAAAAAAAGAATTTTTTTAGAAATTCTGCTCAAAAGCCATAGTTTGCCTGCTCAAAAGAATTCACAGTGTATTTTAGACATTGCAATCCATGAATTTTCAAATAACTCTACTTGAGGACAGAGATAGTGGCTATTAAATGTCGCTACAGTCTTGTTCGAAATCATCTAACTGCTCAAGGTCGCTCACTAGCAACCCCCCACCACTATTCTCCTCGACTGTTCCTCTCAAAACCTTCTCGTCTCATCTATATCGTCTAAAAATAATTCAAATTAAGTCGAATAACTTCAAAAAATAAAAATAAAAGTTGAGAAACCTAATATAAGAATCTTAAACATTCAGAACTCCAGTTTCCCTTCATTCTTCACACTTGTACATACCTTCTGTTAACATTCTTGAAAAACCTGTCGAACCTCTGCCTCTCTACGACATTCTCGGCCGGATAGAAGCTCGAAGAAGCCTCCAAACTATCACCAGACGTTCCGTCGTGAATCAACTTATTATTGATCACTCTTGCGTTACGCCATGTTTGAATTTTATCAATAGGCTCGTCGGGAACCCTCTTTCCGTGAATCACAGGCGTACCATCTCTGTCTAAAGTCATAGGCGACCTCTTTGGGTTCGATTTCACGTTTATCTCAGATCTGACTATCACTTCCGACGGTACATTCTTGGCATCCCTATTCTTCGACAAGTTTGCACCGATATTTGTCCTCGATGGACGAACCTGATGAGGCAGAAATGCGAAACGTGTTTTCTCGTCACTTTGCTCATTCAGTTGCAATTTTCTCTGCGACCTGTCTTGAAAATGACGCGGCAGAAGCAATCTGCTACCGGGAAAAGCTGGATCGAACCTAGCGTAATTGGTCCTTTCCTCTGTAGTCGTCTTCAGATCGCTCTGAAGAGGCTTCCAGCTCTGATACTCCTCAGTCGTCGATTCTTGAAGCTGAACTGCTCTTCCGTCTGTTCCTAGGGGCGTCCAATTGCCATAATCGATATTCTTTTCGCTAACTGGTCGATTCGTTTTGGTAATGTTAATTTTCTCATTGGCAGAAACGTTTTCAGGCTTGGAGAAGCTTTTCTGACTGTCAGAGTCTGATAATTTCGCTCTGAGTTGCTCTATTTGAATTTCTTCCAGCTTTCGGATCTCTTCTTTAGTTTTTGTCATTTTTGACGAGTCTAACGACATGGTATTGTTGTTAGCTTCTTCAGGGTTGAGTTTTTCAGAGTTTTGTGGGTTTTTAGAAAGTTCAAGGGGTTGAGAATCTTCGGGGAAAGTCCTGTCTCGACGTTTTACGATTAGAGTGGCCAGATTTCCTTCGCTGGTTCGCACTTTGAGCTCTTCAGTCTCGCCTGGAAGGCTTCTGGACACTTTGAGCATGGTTCTCGCATAGCTGGGCTTAGGCAGGTCTGCTGTGCTGATGTTGATGACGAATAGAATCATCAACGCCAGAGTGAACGTCACCTAGAATGGAAAAAATAAAATATGAAAGTTGTAAAACTGTTGATTCAAGAGTACTTGCAAAAAGTTTTAAATTGAATACAATTGAAGATAATCAATTTTCTAGTATTTCACAGAATAAATGTAATTCAATTTTTAAATCCTCAAATTAATGGATAATAAATTTTCTCATATCTCGAAAAGGAATTAGCATTAAATTTTTAAATACACAAATTAATAAATAGTTAATTTTCTTCTATTTCAGAGGAATGAATATAATTCATTTTTCAGTATTATTCAAATTAACAGTTAACTTATGTTCTTCGCATTAATTTTCAAACATTCTAATTACAAGACAATTCAGTTTCTCACACTTGGACGAAAAGAATTTTAGACCATTAAGTAATTTCCACTCAAAATTCACTGAAATTCAATATTAATAACTTTAAATTGAATCCAAACAACGATCCTAATCTCCCATGAATTATTCCCGCTATAGTTTCTCTTTCTTACAATTGCAAATAACTATTACAACAAAACCAACCGTGATACGTCAAGTATCACGCAACGCCAATTCAAACTGATCTAGTGTAATGAAGAAATTGAAGAGTACAGTACAAATACACAAATACACGAACAATACAAATGTATTTTAAAAAGTATTTATTTACTTGTAACTAGTATATACATATACAATACTTACAAGGGAACTTCGGTAACCTGAAATGTCCGATTTTTTTGAAACTTTGTGGGTTTGTAGGGGACGTCAAGAGAAGTATCGGGCAATTTTTTTTTTGCCCAATTTCAGTTTAATATCAATTTAAATATCACATTATCCGATAAGATTAACATATTTATCTGCATTTATTTGACATATTTTTCGATATGACAGAAAATTGAAAATTTTTCACAACAACGGTAGTGGAAGATTTTTAATTTAAAGAAAGAATTTTTATTAATTTAATAGCACAGTCTTATAAAAGCCATTAAATTTTTATTATAAACATTTTTTTATATCTACTATAGTTTTAAAGATATACAGGGAAATAAGGTAACACTTATCTTCATTCAAGGGCTGCTTTCACCCCAAAGAACCGAAATTGGGCCAAAAAAAAATTGCCCGATACTTCTCTCGAAGTCCCCTACAAACCTACAAAGTTTTAAAAAAAATCAGAATTGTCGGGTTACCGAAGTTCCCTTGTTAGTTATTTTTACCGCGAGTTCACGTAACTATCATAATCTCGTCCTAATGTGGCTTTGAAGACCAAAAACCTTCTTCACCGCTTTAAATGCGAGGTACTGGATCATCCTGCCTACAGTCCGGACTTGGCTCCGGTCGGGTGTCGTAAAATTAAAAGAGTTTTTGGACGGACGACTCTTCGCAGGAAATGAAGATTGCGTGCAACGATGATTGTGCGAACTTGTGGCGGAAGTGCATGACGAAGGTACACGAAAACTCGTCTCACATTACGATATGTGCGTCAAGAAGGGCGACAGTTGTATTCAAAAATAACTAATAAATAGAAACAAAAAAAAACTTTTTAAAATACATTTGTATTGTTGTTGTTACAAAGCGGGTATTACTTTATGGACGACACTCGTGGAATATTCGATTGGTACAGCTATCTATTGCAGAAATCTATTGCAAAGACGATAAAAATAGAGTTTAACGAGGCATCAAAGAGTTTCAATAGCCGACACACGTAGTCGGTGCATTTGTCAACGCGATGGATGAAACGTCGAGCATACGAATCAGTCTGAAAAGCATGTGAAATCAGTGTGAAAAGGTTTTCGAAAGTTGGTCTTGCACTGTTCTGCAACTATTCTCTGCTCGAAAGAAATTCATTTTTTAATAAATTTACGAATTTCTAATTTAAAACTTTTAATTTATGCATTTCAGTGCTTTTTCAGTGGAAATTGTTCAAAGTGGATACGCGACTGAACAAAGTTTACGGTTTAGAAGGTCGAAAAGCAGTGCTAAAATATTTTGTCTATAATTTTCCATTTTTCAGGGTATTTTGAAGTATTTCGTGCTCAACATGTTTTTCACATTTTAAGCAAAGTTAGAATGTTCTGTACATATACTCTCTAGAAACAGTTTCATTTGCAGTTTATTTGCCGTGAAAAATCTCATTTTTATTGCATATTCAAAAATGTTAGAATAGTTGAATTAAGAAAAGCAGAGCAGAGATACGAATGTGATACTTCTTCCATTATATTTGTCAAAACTTTCCTGCGTAATAAAGATTTTATTTCTTAATTCACTATTTCTTCAATTTCTTCATTTCACTGCTCTCTGTCTCTTTTGCAAATCTTTCGTTCCACTCGACGTTTCACAATTTCCTGAATTTTTTCAATCGTGAAAAATCCTTGTATAACAATACTTAACAATACTAAGAAGCAAAGAGAAAAAAAAAAGAAATGTAAGAAAGAACGTAGAAGACAGGAATTTCGATTTTGTCTTTAATCCTCCGGATTGGAACTCCGAGAGAAACGCGATTGAAGAGATTCTCCCTTGATGTGTCACACTAAACGAGCTATAACTTCGTTATTTTATTGAATACAACTATAAAACTTCAGGAGTACATTCTTAAAGAGTTGTACTTTCGATATATGCAAAAAAATAAAAATCGATTTTTTGAAACCGTCACACTAGAAGACCCCCTTAACTAGCTCCTAAATTTCTGAATTTGCGTAATGACGATTAGAACCGGGTCGAAACCGGCCGTCTAATCCAACAAGCGTAATTAGGAAACGCAATTTGTAAGTGTTAACGATGGGCACACGTTTTGCGTAACGATCCGTGCATTACACGCCCGATGGAAACGAAGCCTACCGGAAGTCCATTGTGCCTTCCTCAATCCCTGGCAACGCTTACGCGTTACGCATGCTGTGTAACTTTGTATGGAATATGTTACGTGCTCGATTATGTTCGCGAGGCCTATTTAGAATCTTTGTGCGCAGATTTTATAGTTGAGTTTTACTATACGTGCCTTTAAACGGCGAATGAATGTGTTTGTGACGAACGAAAGATGGAATGATCGTTGTTAACGTTCATTCATCATTAGACGTGTGATTAATCGGTGAAAATTAATTTAAGTTAATTGAAGGAGTTTCGTGTTGTACCATTAACTTGGTAGGAAATGTAAATAATGCAAAGGTAAATTTATGAGGGCGATAAAGTAACAGAGTGAATCTGATCTCTTTTGTGGAGAATTTTGAATACACAAGTGTTCTGTTAAAATTAATATAAATTTAACAGAGTACGTTTAATTATCCACAGAAAATTCTAAATACTGAAATTATTGAACGTAATAAAAATTCAATTCTCTACAAATAATTCCTGCAATAGTTCCTTAACAATTGCAAAATATACTTGTGCAGGGCGTAGAAAATAAATGAAAAATGTCACTCTGTGCACATAGCTAACTGACATTCTTTTCAAAAATCAATATTCGAAACGCTTGTAGCCAACTCACATAACTCATTCATCAGCACACTTGACAATCGATACTTCGCATATCGATCTGTTTTTAAATACTTTCCTACACTGGTAAGTATTATATAGGTCATCTAGAAAAAGTTCTCGTGGTTTTAAATCGCTTATTTGGAAAAAAAAACAACACCGAAATGAAACATTTTTATTTCAAATAATTTCCATAATATTCGATACACTTTTACACAAGAGCATTAATTCCGCGTACATACAAATCTGAATCTCTAAGAGAAAGAAAGACGGAAATGAATGTCTCCGATCCAAACCTACTTTACACCCGAAAAAAATCATGCTCACAGTTCCGTGGTCTACTTCGAAATTAATTCACTATTGTTTTCCAAAACCGGATACCACTATCACTACAGAGTCATACAGTAGCGAAATGGAGGCCGTTCACCAAACACTGTAGGTGCAGCAATCAACCCTGGTCAACAGAAAAGGCTCTATCCTTTTGCATGACAACGCCATACCGCACGTAACAAGCACAACTGTACAAAAATTGCATCAACTGGGTACTGAAATTCTACTTCGTCCCGTATATTCCCCTGATTTATCTTCAGTCGATTTCACTTTTTCCGCTCACTTGACAATTTCCTGGCACAAAAACGATTCAGAAAATAGGAGGATATTGAAAACGCCTTTTAGCAGTTTCTTTCTCTTAGAGATTCGAATTTTTATATACGCGGAATTAATGCTCTTGCAATACGTTGGTAAAAGTGTATCGAACATTATAGAACTTATTTTGAATAAAAATGTTTAATTTTAACGAAGTTATATTTTTTTTAATTGTATGGCTTAAAACCGCGGGAGCTTTCAGGATGATCGAATATTAAGGATTTTAATTAAATTGTTACTATGAGAATGATTACCCCTTTTATGACTGAATTATTTCTTGTTTATTTATCGATCATTCTGTCTGCGATGGATATTAAATTGAGATCAATTTTTGTTCCAATATGAATATGTACCGGTTATCAAAGGGTTAAACGAGCTTGGAGAGATTAGCATTGAAGGTTTAATTTTCGTTACATGTGCGATTACTTTGAGAAAGTTAATTTAAGTTAGGCGAAGACTTTGGTGTTCAATTTTTCGCAACTTTGTTATTTTTATTTTTATACAACTTTCATGAAATTATTTTTCGTAAAGAATTTAATGTTATAACGAATATCCAATTGGTCGATTAGTATGACAGAGGATTACAAGAATGCGCGATGTAAACTAGATGCACGTTACTGTACGAATCAGGTATAAATCTGGTATAAATTAGATTCGTTTCTTAATTGGTTAACTTAACATCGATCGTATCTATGTAAAGTAGAAAATGAAAGGTTTCAGACGTTCTCTGTCCCAGTGACAGTGTTTCGAACATTTTTTTGGGTCACTTTCACTTTTTGTATTGTGTCGCCCGGAATAATTTATCAGTGAAACCGATCGAGACGAATTTCAATATCAAAATTGTAATACCGAAACAATAAAACTGCGCGCTTTAATTAAGAGTCGCGGAAAGAAACTTTTTAGCAATTTTTAC